CCCCAGTCAATTGCATTGTTCCATATATAGTATATGTTATGCTACGTATATATATACATATATCTATCGGAGTATTCCGTATCCATATGCAGAACTCGCCCCCATAGAATTGTTCAATTGCCAGAACATAAACGTGTGCGTGTATTTTTTGCGGGGCATGCCCTTTTGTTAGTTTGATTTAGGCGGCAGTATATATGAATTATTATAGTTAAATATGGATATTTATTGCGTTTTGTGGGACCTAACTGCAGCTGAGGCAGAAAGCTTTTGATCGGCCGGACAATTGGGTGTGTGAGTGTTCGTGTATTTAAATTTTATGGCCCTGCAATAGTAGCCACTATAATGGGCTGACTTTGGTTCCATTTAGAAGTTTCAGATCTACTTTTGTAGCTTTTTAGCAAAAAGGCAGAAAAGAGAGAGCGGACTGCAGATTTAATTGCAACAAAGTTTTGTCGGAAAACCAAAAATGATGAAATGAGTAAGTTTTCTTTGTTATGGCTTTTTGGCAAATCAAAGTGTGGCCGAGGATGCATTTTAATTGCAACTCTTTTTTAATTAAAGTTAAAAAATCAAAGATACAAACTTAAGTGCAATAAGCGCAAATGCAATTAGATTTTCATTTAAGACTCAAAAGTCCAGTTGCTAAGCAAAACAATCAAATTAAATATGAACAATGAGAAGCATTCGAGAACGAGTCCTGCTGCAAATGCACAAAACTCAAGCGCAAAGACAAATACAAATATAAAATTTATGGGAAGCACATTGAAAATAAGTAAATGGAGTGTTTGTGTTTGGGTTCTGGCCATGGATTTAAGTCCCAGCCAGGACGTAGTCCTTGGCTTGAGCCATAAATTGTAACGGCTTTTGGTTCTACCTTATGCAGATTTGTTTAACTTCAAAAGAAACAACAAATTGCCCGACCATTGGCTGTCTGCTCCTTCCATTTCAGTTTCTGTTATTGTTCAGTCCCCATAGCTTAGATGGGTGTTTCTTTTATTTTTTATTTTCATACCCTAACAGAGTGTATTATACTTTATCCTAAAAGATCTGAATTAAAATATGGCAAATTAAAGGGAAGCTTTACAAAAAGGCAAATATGGGCGAAACATTTACCTTTTATCCTCATCGGCTTACCCAACACTATAGTTACAAAATTTGGGTCTGAAAAGTTTCCATTTTGGCCACCTCATGATCTTAACTTTTTTACGGAGCCTTGGGTACAGGGGATCCTAGGGTATAGACATAATTTGGGTAATACTAATCCAATCGACGAATTCTATAACTTCCGGATTCATATTTTCCAGTACCATTATTTTTAACCAAAACACGGTAACAAAAATGTTGAGCTTTTTTCTGAAAACTTTTCTAGGATTTTAGACTCAATTTGACCAATATATTTTTGTATGGTTTTTTCTAAACTTTTAAAGTAGACTAGTGCCTTAATTCCGGTGCCTTAAATTATAATCCGGTTTTCAATCGGTTCCGAATAGATCAAATATTTACAAAAAATTACATCAAAAGTTTACATTTTGTCCAATATAGAACGTTGTAACAATTTTTGCCCTTTCTTGATGGAAAAATATTCATAGCTTGGCTAATACTAAAAAGATCCACAAATGTCAAACTTTACCAGACTTAGAACGTTGTTGCATTCCTCTGCATCAAAATCTGGCAAAGAAAATGTTGACCCATTTTTCGGATTTTTTCAAACATGATTTAGCCAAAAGTCGATTCAAATGTTTTATTTCTCGATTGACACGATATTTGTACATAGATGGATAGCAACCGTTTCTAATTCACTTCATAAATAGCCATTTTGGGTATATTCTCAACTTCTTGAACAAGGCCTTGAATCTGCATCATAATACAATACAATTCGAGATTTAAAGGTTAGCGTATATAAGCTTCAACTCCGACTAAAGTTAGCTTTCTTTCTGTTTATTTTTTATTTTTGTTCTCTCCAACATTAATCCACTAAACCGTAAACAAACGAAGGCAGTCAACAAAGGGCCAACATGGCATATGAGCTATTAAGTGTAACATGTGTGTGCGGAGTCTAGCCATATTTTAAGCTCGCCTGCATTTCCGCATTTCTTTTTTTATCCTTTACAAGGAGCTTTCATTGCGAATTGCTATCCTTTTGAAATATGCGCCTAAGCGATTTATAGCACTGCAACTAGAATTAAAGAAAACATTTTTATGTAAGCATTTTTGAAATATTACTCAACCGATTATAATATTAACACATGCTTCACCTAATCACATTTTATATAATTCCATGGTATTGCATTTAATTCAATCCTTTTATGACATTTTATATGTGAAATAATTATATTTACTTTGTGCTTGGCTGCTTGGTGGCTGGGAAGCTGGGAAAATTGTAAAATAAAATATTTATTCCCTTGCTGAAAAGTTTTAGAGGCCGAAAGGGCTTATCCTTTCAGCAGAGACCCAAGGTCGTCGAACAGCAGTTGGGAACTTGCCTTTCATTGGCAATTTTGTATTTGTTTGGCCCGTTTGTTTTGTTGCTGTTTGGTAGTGCTTTATAAGTATTTTATTTGAGCACCAACATAAAATCCAAACACAAACACAGGAACAGAAACAAAACCGAACAGGCAGCAGCAATGAAAGTTAAACAATGTTTGCGGCTTTGCTATCCGTTTCCGCAATAATTTCTCAAATCCTCCTGCGAGCGTTTTATGCCCTTGACACAATTTCCACAGCCGGAGCACCCTGCACCCAGCACCCAGCACCCAGAGCGGAAAACTTTTGATTTTGCCACAAGATAATTTGCTAGCTGGAGGCTAAAGAGGCTGGCTGTGGGCGTGGTGGCACTGGGTCGCGGCCACTTAAAGTAATGCAGGGAAAAAAATACGAGATACGAAAGAAGGCAGCTCGGCAATCCAAATAAGGAAATCAAAATGGCAAAGCAACATAAAAGGCAAGCGAAAATTGAACATCCTGCAGCAGGATGCGTTGCGGCAGAACGGTCGGTGGTCGGTGCTTGGTGGTTTTGCTGGTGGCTGGTTGGTTCAAGGAGTTCCCGGCCAAGACGAACGCCATAATTATGGGTGACCGCGATAAGGAGCTGAGAATGTAAGGGAATTGCGGGAGTCCACTCCACGTTGCAAGGAACAATTGATGCTGCGAAGGACTCTAAGGCAAACCGAGAAGTCAAGGCAACCAGAATGTGGGTGGTGTTTTTCTCAATAGAGTATATGGACTACAGGACCACAGGACTACAGGACTTGTACTGGCCAGGGACAAATGGGACTGGTGACTGGTATCCTACTTTGTGCAATGAGAAATTTCCGCTTGCTCGTTCCTTTTGCTTGAAGGATGACATTTTTGCAAATTGCCATCATAATAATAATCAAATTCGTGTAAATTTGTTTGCAAATTCAAGAAGGAAATGGTGTCAGCTGGCCCAATTCTTCAGCCCGTCGGCCCCCTTATCCTTTCACACGAAAACAGTCCGAGCCGGAGACTGGATGGGCTGGGATTATCAAGTTAATAGCTTTTCTCGTTTCAGTTTAATGTTCATGAAATTGAAAACATAAACTACAACCCGGTAGTTAGGTACTTGGGCCAGGCTTTTGAGTGATTACAGGCATGTGGCATTTGCAAACCGGATGGAGTTTAATTATATCTATTAATTAAAGTGCAAAAAAAATAAGGACAACCTGACGGCATAGCCAATAGCCATTTCATATTAAAAATTGTAATTTACTTGACATAAAAAATAGTTGGCAAATAAAACGAAGCTGAAATTAAATTTCCACCGAGAGCACAAAGTCCTTTCCAACTTTAAATTGACTTGCCTGGCATTGAATCAGTCAGTCATTCATTCATTCATTCACTCTACCAGTGCAACGCCTTGCAAAAGTAATCTCCACAATGTGAGATCTGTTTTATGGTTACTTCGAGCGGCTTATTCCGAGGACCTCTTAGAATGTAGCTACTGAATGTATGTATGAGTTTCAAGGCTGTTCGCAGGTGAATGCCAGACTGTGGATGTGTGTATGGCAGGTGACAGAAGGATATTTCTTGGAAAAGCCACAGGGAGACCCTAGTATTTTCTGAGGAGATAAACTGGAATTACCCTGATCCCGGCTCACTTTTAATCTGTTCAGGAAACTCGTTTGATTTCAATTTCATGCGGTCACCAATCGATGAGGCTTTTCAGTCTGTCCCAACTTTGGCCGGCACGTCAAAAGTTTCCGTCAACTTCATTAGGCCAAATCTGACGGCCAACAGACTGAGCCCCGCAAATGCCCGTCATGGTCAGCCACTTGTGGATATCCGGAGCTTTCCTTACGGCCCCGACGATGAAGTCCTCCGTTCTCAGCATTTTGGCCCAAAGCGTCGAAATTAAATGAACCACAAACTCGGACAAAAGTTATTTAGCCAAGTGATACCATGGATGGGTAATGGGTTGCCAGTTGCCCCTTTTCAGGCTGACTGGCAGAAATTAAAGGCCTTACTGACTCGTGATTTGACTGAAACTTGGAGCATTCATTTGCAAGAGCCTCTCAGCATTCGAATATTTTCACAGTTCGTTTTCCACAGCGTCACCTTGGCTAACTTATTCGGCTTTTTGCCCACTGATTGTCGAGGGCGTAAAGTTTGCCGCTCAAAAGTTGCTCTCGAGTATCCTGCCGAGGGTGAAATAACTTTGACACAAAAGTTGGCCAACCAAAACCTTTCCAGGGTCCACTTCTCCGGCTCTTTTTCCTTTGTCTTGAATGCTAATCAAGAACGGGAACTTGAGACGACGGCCTGGACAAATCTGAATAAACTTTTAAAAGTGCGGCAAAGCCCCCTCCGAGGAGCCAAAGTTGATTGGCATTGCAGTGGAGCTTAATAGGTAATTGCTTTAACCCTTTTTGTGGTCAATAATGCCAGAAAAATAAGTTTCAAATAGGCTTTTCAGATACTTGTTGCATGGGCTCTTAATTCAATTTTTAATAGCCTTGAACTTTCGGATTTTTCACAAAAACTTAGTAGACTGTTTGAAAATGAAATTAAATATTAAATCAAAGTGTTGCAATTGAGTTCCTTAATTGAATTATTTACAATTTGTGAAAGAGACATGAGACTGAACACGCTTTGGAGTTCGATGGGGGCCATGAGCTGCGGCTCCCTGATCACCTACTTGACGCTCCGACATTTCGATGGGCAGCCGTCGTCTGCTTTCTCATCTGGAGGCGGGGATTCCATGCGCGAGTTGGGATCGAAGGATATTGGAGCCTGGCTTCATGAATGGGACCAACCCAAGCCCGTGCCCCAAAATGTGGCAGAACGCGACGAGTCATCCGCCCTTCGGCATATTATCCTGGTGCGGCATGGTGAATACACGAAGTCTTCCAACGGCAGCCACCTCACGGACTTGGGGCGCCTCCAGGCGGAGAGGACGGGCCGTCGGCTGCGGGAAATGGGCGTGGCCTGGGACCATGTGGTGGCCTCCACCATGCCACGAGCCCAAGAGACGGCCATGATCATCCTCAAGGAGCTTAACTTCGATCCACTGAAAATGAAGCGCTGCACCTTGCTGCCCGAGGGAACGCCCTATCCGGGGGATCCTCCACAGAAGCGCAGTGTGAGGAGCATTGACATGTCCTACCAGCGAGATGGGCCACGCATCGAAGCAGCCTTTCGGCGGTATTTCTTTCGTGCCACACCGGAGCAGGACCACGACTCCCATCTGCTTATCGTGGGCCACGCCAACGTCATTCGTTACTTAATCCTGCGGGCGCTGCAACTGCCGCCGGCTGCCTGGACCCGGCTCAACCTGAATCACGGCTCAATTACCTGGCTGACTGTGTGGCCCAACGGCTATGTGACCCTCCGCTGCATGGGCGATTCCGGTTTTATGCCCGTATCCGAGCTGACCTATCGAAGGCCGGCGCCCGCGCAACTGGCCGTAAAATCAAATGGAAAATAGCTCATGATTAAAGCCGTTTCACAGCCTCTGGCCCTCCTTTTTTTTTGGCATAGATTTAGATTTGGTGGAATGCGTCATTTGGCTGCAAGTGGAAACGTGACATCCGGCACATTTTGTCGCAACTGCAACTGCAACTGGCGCAGCAACTGGGGGGCTGTGAGACCACTTTAACTTTGGCCAAAATCACTTGGCCAACATACTCGGCCAGATGCATTTGTATCTGCATTTATGCACGGTAGGGTGGATATTTTAAAGATGAAATAAAAACTACTATTTTTTGCCTCCTAGGATACAAAAATTGTACATTTAATAGAAATTTGTATAGTTTATATTTTTGAAAAATTAGTTCGCTACTGATTTGTGGTTCACCCTAATGCACATGCACATCCTGCGGCCACATTGCCAGCGGGCGGACTCCACTCATTTTGGTCCACCCCAGTCGCTGGCACATTTGCGCCACTCTTTCGGGTTTGTCTCTGCTCATTAGTGCGGCTTTAATTTTGGTTATTGTGCCTGTCCCATGTTGTTCGGGTTTGGTTTCTGGTTTCGGTTTCGGCTTGGTTTTTGGCTCTGGCTTTGGCTTTGGCTCTGGACTTGGGTTTAAGTTTGGGTATGGGCTCCAGTTTCGGATTTTGTACTCCCAGGCTCTGGAAGACTGGGCAGGGGTTTCGGGTTTTGGTTTTGGCTGTGGCTGTGGCGTTGACGTTGCGTTGGCTTGGTCGCCGTTGCTACTGGCGTTTCATTAAATTTGCATCCGTCCACAATTTGAATTTAATTTGTTGGGGCTGAAAATTGCATTATTTCCATCCGCCCGAAGCGTCAGCTTCAGAATTTGCTCCACTCCTGCAGCCCCCACACTTTCAGGATTCCTCCACTGCCACTCTCAACGAGTGTCAGCTGCTAAATATTTGCCTCGCCGCATAAATTCTGGAGCACATAAAAAGAAAATGTTTACTTTATGGTCCCTATTATTGCCATGGCGGTTGACTGCCTCACAATGGCCCTTGATGTTGGTTGTGCACACATATATAGATATATACCCTATGATAGTCATAATATATGCAGCTGAAATGCACCCAAGTCACCTTTGAAATGTTATTGAAGGACTCACTGATTTATAGACATCGACTTGGGAAATGCACATTCATTTCAATGATTAAATAGTTAAAGTAGCAGTATACATTTATTTCAACTTCAAATAATCCATTTGATATTCAACAAACTGGAAATAAAATGAAAGCTTACGATCTCTTGTTAAGTATACTATTAATTTTACATCCTTTTTCCAAAGCGGATCGCGGTACTGTGAGTGACCTGAGCGATGACACCTTTGAGCTTTTGATCTCTGGAGGACACAAGCCGGACAGCAATAGATACTCCCGGCATGTGGTCTCTATACGAACCCTCAATTATGTTGAGGTCCAGGGGGACAACCACTTTTGCAGCGGAACTCTGATCAGCAGTCGGGCCGTTCTGACTGCTGCCCATTGTGTGACGGAGTAAGTTTCTAAACTACACCAGAGCTAGACTCATGTGCATCCTTAGTCGTTACAAGGCCTCCATGAATCCAAGGGGTCTACGGGTCATTTTCGGACATGTGGACCGCCTGGCTTACTACACGGAAGACCACACCAGTCGTGTGGATCAGATTATGGTGCATCCGAAATATGAGCGGTACAAATCCCATGATTTGGCCATTCTCTGGCTAACAACAAGGATTCCCAGCCATAACCATGATGTGGTGCCGCTGCTGATGCGTAAGAAAGCGAATCTAACCGTTGGCATCCACTGTATTACTATGGGCTGGGGTCAAATTTATCAGGTTAGAAATCGATCATTGCATTCCTAGATACCATTCATACATAGATATTTATTTTCAGCATGGCCCGTATTCGGATGAACTGCTCTATATGGATGTAATCATTAGTAATTCTTCTCGGTGCGACGAAAACATTTCTGATTTCAATGAGGAGGAGAGCGTGTGCGTGAAGCCGATGAAGGAAGGCGAGTACTGTGCCGGCGATATGGGCGGACCACTGATATGCCGGGGGGCTTTGGCCGGAATCATCGGCGGAAGCCTCGGCTGCGCCGGCGGCAAGGCCATGAAGTTTGTCAGCTTTCTTAAATACAGGAAATGGATAGTGGGCACTGTGCACGGAATGACAGCCTCTAAACGACCTCTGTTTGTGTATCTTCCAGCTTACTATTGGATATTAACAAATATTCTACATTGGCTTTGGAAAATTCAATGGGAGCTTTGAATATTATCATTCCCGTTTACTGTATGTAATGTGCTTGATTTAAAAATAAATATACAGTCCCAAAGCTACTTTCAAAGCGACTATTTTCTCCGAAATGCAAAGTCCTTTTGTACTTTATGAGCCCCGGGCTGTTGCACTGCTGTGTTTTGAATTTGCGGTGCAGGACGACTTGACATTGATGCGCTGCCTTACAAAGGACGACAAGTGCACACAAAGAACGCAAACGCCCGATTCCCATACCACCTTGGCGGTCATTCAGGGTGAATAATACGAGAAGCTTAGCCACATTCGGTAGGAGATGTGATTTTGCATTGGATAATGTTCGAGACTTAAAGTTTGGAAAGTCCCTTCAGGCTGGCGTGTAAATCTGACGTAAAATGCATAAATCAAAGGCAAATTGAATTTTAGCCATGAAAGGCACTTCTGCCACGGAGTCAGTGCATACACTCGTTGAATATATAGAATATACGCTAGCTGAAGCCCAGAGTTCCGACGTGGTCGTCGTCGTTGTCGTTGTCGTTCTCGTTGTCACTGGCATCGCCCGCTGTGAGCTCCGGCAATATGTTGAGGAAAATACCAGCCCACTTGGCCCCACTTTACCCTTCAGACCCTCCATAGCCGAAGCTTAACTTTAGCTGCAGCAACGGGCGAAAACTTTGTCTGGCTGGCGTTGATGCAACTTTAAAATAAAGTCTACTTAATGCAAAGCTCAAGGCGCCTCCTGCCAACACAAACAAAAACTGCGAAATTGGTCGTTAGTACTTATGAGATATATTTGGCACTTTCGCGAGAACTGAAGACACTTTTAGCTTTCTGAAGCGAAATTTAAAAGATTCTAATTTCCCGCCAGTTTTGCCTCCAACTACATATGTACATACATAGATGGTATTCACCATACGCCTCTTTCCCATTTTCACTCGCTGATTTGTGGAAAAAATTTCTAAGTTTTCTTTCCCGATTATTTGAACCCAAAACCTTTTTTCTGACCACCATTCAGTCGTGTGACGGCGGTGGTCGAGCTATGTGGTTGATTGGCTGAACACTCAGAGGACACATACAAAACTCATTGCTAATTATGTGAAAATTAATAATTAATTGGCCAACAATTGTCGTGTTAATTGCGTTCAGAGTAAACAGCGTAAAATCAACGCCAAATGATTTTAATTTATAAACGTGGACAAAGCGCTCTAACTAGTCAACTACTATTTGCATTTAAATTGTGTGTTTAATATCGAATCGATATCAACTCAATTTCGGTTTTCAGTTTCAACGTAAAACCGTGAACGACGGTATGTTCACTCTCAAATACACGAACCGATTCGAATCCACATATCAAACTAATTGGAATCAAATTTAAATAGATTCCAATTAAAAGCATGATTTGCAAATCTAAGCCCATAATCACACCATATATGCATATGTGTAAGGGGTGAGCTATTTTGTGAGTGAGTGTTTAACCCGACAGAGACAAACAACTGCCATTGGAAAGAGACGGCGAGAGTGCGGTAGAAAGAGACAGGGAAAGGGCTAGGAGCTGCGACTCGGCATCCCATCAATTAATTGGTGGCCCAAACGAGGTGCGTAAGTTCATTTGGCGTGCAATTTGTTAATTAATCGAATTTGGCTTTTGCAAAAATTAGAGCGTTAAGTCTGACTCATTTTATTTTTATGGATTTGCTGATGTCGAATTTCACACCAAGTTTTTGGTTCGAAAAGTAAACTTCATAATTGTAAAATCCTTAAAGTTTCACATTTACGTTGACACTTGTTTTCTTTTGTTTTAAAGTATATTTTTATTCAATAGAGTTTATTTCAAACGTTCTAATCATTCTATTTCCAGCTTAAACATACATTTAATCCCAGAAAAAAATTATTTTAAGCACTTTTAACACAATATTGATTTAAAATCTCCACAAAAACGTGCACATATCGTTCAGTTGGTATAAGAGACTTAAGTTCACATTTTCTACACACATTTCCAATTGTAAAATAATTCGAATAACTCCACTGGTAAGCTGGGAGGCAAGCCCCTCTAGTTTGTGTGACCCAATGCATTGAACTCTGCCACCTCGCTCCATAATACTCCGGCCAGTTATCATTGAAAGGCTTTCACTAATATCTTTCTAACAAGCCGTGCTATGGCTACAATAATAGAGAGATAATAGCTGACAACAAGTCCGCACATTGCGTATCGAGTTGCCTTCGAAAGAGCTTGTCGAGCAAAATCGAACGCCTTGACTCGTGTTCACTTGACCAACACATAATCGCACATCTATACACGTTTGTAGGTATATATATATATATATTATATACCCATTACACTGTTTAAGTCGCCAATGCATCGGGGTATCGAGTTTTAATGACCCACTTTCGGGCAGAAGACTGTTTAAGTTCGGGCCGGGCATTTGTATTGGTTTGTTCCAATTCCAATTCTGCAGCAACGTGCAAATCCCAGGGCGGAGCAATTAGTATGGCCATTGGGCAACATGAATGGGCGATAAAGGCGGCAAACGTCGTATTGTCAAGGAAAACAAATGAGTCGAGTGGCCAGCAGTACTTGAAGGGCTTCTTCTGCTGTCCAGGCCCGGGGTGGCCGCACTTTTTCAGTGCCCGAAACAGATCTCTATTCCCAGACACACAAAGGCACAAATACAATTTCCAAACACAGATACAGCAACAGAAACAGATACAGATACAGAACAGATACAAAGAAAAGGAGAAAACGATTGAGAGAAATGTTGTTGTATCTGAAAGTCATTACCCATGGATTCCACACACAGCAAAAGGTGAAAGAGAAACTTTTCGTTTTATTTTTTTGGCCAAGAGCGGTGTTGACAACATTGGAAAGGGCAAAGACAGAGCCAAGCACAAACAAAGCGAAAAATGAAATTAATAGAATTAACAGGTGAAGAATTCAATTCAAGGTGACACTCAGGGACAGCAATTAAATGGGACAGCCGAACCTTGACAGGCTATCAAATAAGGTTCGACACTCGTTGCGTATACGTAATTTTCAGCAGTGAAAGTACCCTGCGTATACGTAATATTTAAGTGAGCGTGTGTGGCTGGCTAGCCTAGAATTTGAACGGCCCTTTAATAAATAAATTTAGGGCAGCAGGAAATTAATTTATTTGAAAAGTATGTGCAAATTCCTCACGTGGCAGCAGTATTCATTAATTTGGTATATGTCACACATCCCCAGTGAGTTACTAGCCGTCCTCCCACAGCTAGTTACTTGGGTTCATCCCCATACATACATATGAATGCATAATTGGAACATAAAATTCCAAAAATATTTTACAACATGCCCTTGCTGTCCGGTGCTTTTTTTTTTGTGTTGCTGGGTCCGAAAGGGATCCCTTCCTCCCGGACTTACTGGCTAGAGGGCCTGGACTGGCCCATCCCCCCTGGCTCTGAGGCTCTATTCATGGTCATGCCCGTTCCGCATTAATTCATTCGCAGAAAGAAGGGAAAACCCTGGCCGGCAGCCAACAAACACCAAACAGCAAACAGCCAAGGCAGCCATCATCCGGCCGAAGATGGACCAGCGTAATCTAACACTGCCAACGCCAGCCGCAACAACAATTATGTCCTCGTCATCCGCAGCAGGAGCAGCTATAGCCGCCGTAGCAGCCATGGTCGGATCCGGAGAGCCAACAACATCTGCGATGGCATCGGCAACAACAATAGCATTAGCAGCAACAGCAACCACAGTGCCGCCAACAATACCCCCAACAACAACACCAGCCACATTTTTTACCTACAGCATACCAGGCATGGACATAGCGCCAGGACCATTTATATTCACCTACGTTAGTGAATTTTTATCGCTTATCACGCCCGAGGAATTGCCGCTGGGTAAGTCCTGCCCCCTGCCTACCCCTCTTCACTACCCACTCCTTTGAGTTGGGCGTGTCCTGATGTCCTGTCCGTGTTACTACATGCTAGTATGTGTGAATATTCGACGACACGGGAGGTCGTTGAAATGTAAATTCAGGACATAGACTTGTAGGTGGTCGTAGGTGGATGTTCCGAGTTAAAATTTATTAAACTGGCTTTATTCCTGATGAAGGATTTTTTTTTGGCAAGGCGCATAGATTTTTAATGGTCCAAGTCCTTGAGGGCTAGAAGTATAATCAAGTCAGAGCACAGGCGGCTTAGCTACAATGATCTGACCCTTGAAAAAACATGTTTATCTAAATTATATCCATCGAAATCGGACACGGAATTGGTGGTGCGGCTGCCCAGATGACCGATGAGCAGAAGCTAAACACCTTTATGCAGCGGCATGGTGTCAGGGAGGAGGTGGCACGCCGGTACTTGAGTGCCAACAACTGGGCCCTGGATTTGGCGAGCAACATCTATGAGTCCGATACGGCGGCTAAAAACAGTCCGGATAAAAGCCAACGGTCAAAGAAGTCTGAAAAATCGGAAAAGCCAGACCCTACGATAGCGGAGAGTAGCCATCGAGATCTGCAGTCTCTGCGGAGTCAGCACTCGAGAAAACAATCCGATAGTGATGGCTACCAAGCCGAGATGTCGGTTTCGGGAAGCTCATCCGCCCACGACGTAGCAAGTAATAAACGTGTGGCTATCGAAGACTCCACTCCGGCCCTGACCACCAACGACAGCGACCGGAGTCTGCGCGTCTGGGGCCATGGAATTCCGCTGGGCAGCGCCCATCCCATTAACCCACCACCAGCCCGAGCCACCACGGAGGACTCGGACACTGAACCCACCGACGACGAGCACACCATTGTGGTTCTGCATCTCTGGTCCGAAGGATTCTCCCTGGACGATGGTACCCTGCGGCCATATGCCGTTCCGGAAAACGAACGATTCCTTCGGGCCGTATTGCGCGGCGACTTCCCTATTGAGATGCTGGACAATCGGCCTCGGGTCGAGCTGAGTGTCCAGGATCATACCAACGAACGCTTCCGCACCCTCTCACGCAAACAGTTCCTGGGACCAGGTCGCTCTTTGGTCAATCCCTCGCCAACATTAGCCTTGCCCATTCCAGGATCCCAGGTTGCGATGCAGGCAGTCCAGCTGAACGAGGGAGCTGCCATTACCACGGTGCAAATGCGGTTGGCGGATGGTAGCCGTGTAACAGGCCGCTTCAACCTCACCCATAATATCGGAGACCTGTATCGATATGCCCGATTGGCCAGGCCCCAGTTTTCCGATCGCAGCTTCGTCCTGATGACATCCTTCCCGAGACAGGAACTCCAAGAAACGGACACACGCACCCTAGGGCAGGCCAATCTCTGCAATGTGGTGGTCATTCAACACCTAAACGAGGAGCAAGAGGACCTAGTGTCGAGTGATTCCTCTGAATAGATTGTTAAATAAATAGACTGATTAGATGGATTCGGCTTAAAGGAGCTTGTTTTTGGGAAGGGATTTTTTTTTAACTAAATTTGTATTTAAAATCTTTTCAGAATCCATTCGCGATGTCTTACACAAAAACGTTAGTCTGGTGGACTTTGCCTCCAACGTGAGTGTTTTGATAGAGAAGTTTCCTTATTATACGAACTCCCATTTTAGGCCATTAAGATCGAGTCTGGTTTTATTGCCCTGATGAGCGTGTTCGCCATCCTGGCGCTGGTTCCGCTGATTGCCACCTGTGCCTGGTGCTGCGGCCGCCGTTCCACCCAAGAGGAGGTGGACCACATACGGAGTGCCCCCTGCAACATCCGGGACGAGGCGCTGGAGGAAAGCTTACGTTGTCGCAAAAGTGCCGGATTGGTCACTCTGTGGATTGTCTTTGTCCTGCTAACGTGAGTTAAGATCTTTGGGCAGAAACTTTGCCCGGGGAACTGCCGGGCAAGTAATTTCATTTCTCTACTTTGCAGGCTGAGCGACTTCAGCATATTTTACGCCAACAGTCGCCTGTCCGCCGGAATCGAGATGACGCCCGAGATGGTCAAGTCAGCCGTGCACGACGTGGAGGTCTTTCTTAAGGACACGCATCTACAAATCAAACACAAACTGGATAATGGCTTTCACGTTTCCGTGGAGCGGGTCGTCAAAGACTTGGAAGGTCAGTGCGGTGGGGCGACGCAAAAGTTTGCCATTTTCCGCCATTTTGCAATCGCCTTGCCAAGTTTCGTGCGGCGCCCCGTACTCCGTACTCCACATCCACATCCATTTATAGCCTCCGCTTCGATCCATCCATGCACTCACTATATGCTGCTAAAACTTTCGCACTGCACTCTCTCTGAAAAGCCGTGGATGTAAATATATGAATTTATATGTCCGCCTCTTCTCTCCATAGACGTGGATGTTCTCCTTGGCGAACCGATTCAAGCGGAAATATCTGCACACACTGGCCTTGAGCTGGCGTATGATTCACTGACGACACTTAGCCTGGGTAAGTACCAACACCGAGCGACCAACCAAAGCCATCCGTATTTGGGGGATTCGGGGTGCTGGTTAAGTGCTCCCAGTGCGATAGCCATGCAATTGTCTGGTTACGGACTTGACCCAAATTCCATTCTTTGTGGCGACGAGGCATGCACGGTCAGTAGGCCTAGATGTGCTGCTACCATTACCACCATCACTCCTCCACCAACACTTCCCATTGGCCAAACATGACAATAAACCAGGCCCAATAAATTACATTCCCCGAAGAGTGCGCCCTTTTGTTAGTAGCCCATGCCATTCAACTATTTTTATGTTTAAATTTTAGATTCCTACTGAGCCTTTAATCCACGACATCCTTTTCAAATTCCTCATATATTTCCTCCATCATTTTAGTTCCTTTAGCCCCCGCCTAAGACCAAACAATTGGATAAATCAGAGCTGGAAGGCCATCTTGAAAATCAGCAAACAACGGGAGCAGGCCAACCGTAAACACGGTCTGGAGCGGCTCAAGAAAACCGATTGTTTGTCTCCAATTTCATTAGGGGAATGCAAACGGAAAGGTCCTCCAGGTATCATCCTCCGCAAGATGGCCGAGATGACAACGCCATTATGCTTTGCCGTCGAACACAATGTGTAATTTGGCATCATGGCCGTCCTTCGACTCCTGGAATCCACTGTCCCACATCATCCCATCATTCGAAAGTTGTGGCCCCCATCCGAAAATAAAATACGCTACAATAGCCCTGCAAATATACGACTTGTAGTTGTAATAAAAATAATAATAATATTTTCGTGCATTTGTCGCTGTCAGCGAACGCGGAACTCATCTATCGGGTGCTCATGCTGCAGGAGACGGTCGGCCGGGCACTGAAGCTGTCCCAGGAGGCGGCGGCCCGGATGGAGGAGCTGCAGATCCAGTTGTCCGTGCTGCAGCGGCAGTGCACGTACCGCGACCGCCCCCTCTGCGACACGTTGCGTATACGCAGTTTCGAGGAGAATGGCGTGGTGGATGCCCTGAAAACTGTAAGTTCTCCGGCTCGATTAAATATTATTTGATACCTTGTATTAAAAAAGAGATAGTGGGTATATGGGGGTTCGTAAAAAAGTAATTTTAATAAACCTAAAACATAAGCCATTTAACTTAAGTTTATACATTACATATCTTAGTTAATCTTAAGATCTTTTTGATAAAAGGTATCTGAAAGTCGAAGCATGCATTCTGACTTTCGTTACTTTTTCCTTTTCCTACGTATAAATAATTTGTACTTTTGCTTCCTTTTCGACCCTTTTATTTTCCCATTTCTGAACTGCACACTGAACACTGTTTTTCTAATTCCACCATGGTATATCTTATTTCCTGGACAACGGCAACGACAACGCCAACGAAACGTTGACAATTTGTCAGCTGCAAGAGGACCAAAGCATCTTCCGTATGCGCTACTTGGGCGAAATTGAATTTGGTGCCACTGTCAAAAATCTGACATCGGAAGTTGGCGTGTCACGTTCCATTTTCAGCAATTTCCCGCAACAAGTTAAACATGACACGGCATATGAGCGGAACTGTGAGTACGGCAATCAAAATAAAAGGAAGTTGTAGTGAGAACTCTATTGGAAATTTACTTTACTTTACCTTCCTTTACCGCAAACCTCAAAAACTAGAGCCAAATTAATCGGCAATGACTAGATGGTACCCTGGCCCAAGATTCAATTATGCCACATAAAGCTAGAATGTACAATTCAATCAATAGCACACCTGTCCGACTTCCCATTCAGCCTTCTGCAGTTCCCCAGCTTCACAATGCAATTTCCGCAGCAAGAAGGTTTGCCAAACTTCTGTCCCAGTTTAGCCCAATATTAATTAGTGTCATCTGGTCCGGGTCTGTGTGGGCGATAATTGAATTGTTTTGCAAACTTACTGTCCACAGACACGCTGGAGCAACTGGCCACCATTCGGCACCGGACCACGGCCAATGCACAACAACTGACCTCCACGATTAATGTTCTGCTGAAGCGGCTGGAGGGCACCTGGCCCTCCATGCAGCCCGCCTACAACGAGCTGAAGGAGTGGGCCGACGCCTACTGGAGTGTGGGCTGGATCGCCGGCATGGTCATTGTCTGGGTGATGCTCTTCATGCTGATGTCTTACTGCTGTTTTCTTTGCGAATCGAACGCCAAGTCCGGAGTAGTGTTCTTCATAGCCGTTATGATCATATGCTTAGCCAGTATCTGCCTCACGGTGTACGGAGTCTTTTCCCTGGCCATTGGCGGCAATGCCGAGGTCTTTGTCTGCCGATCTCTGTACGACCAGGACTACGACATGCTGGGTAAGCTACTGGACAAGCCAGGATATGCCTATGCGCGGGAGCCCCAAACGGGTATCATTGGTGAGCTGCTGCGTCCGGAGGGCGTCAACCGGTCGGTGGTAAATGTGGGTCTCGGCCAGGCTCTCAGGTGAGTCCACCCGAAATCCTTTCCAGCCTACCCACTTACATTGTACGTGTGTGTATATATGTGTATCCAAAGTTCCCAGGTAGACCAAGCCCATGTCCAAAAAAAACGGCCAGCGTTGAAGTAACGAATTTTGTTATCCAATTACTTTGATACTGTACGTGCCTGTAATTTTGATTGCCTCCCCAAAGACCAAGTTCCTATTTTTTTTGCTGTGCTGTATGAAAAACGGAATGTACTCCAGGTTTAATGGTTGAATCGATTAGCAGTTCCGCAGGAAATTAAGCTGACATCTGTGCAGAGAGAGAAAACATCAAAGATATTCGATGAATATTCAAGATAGCCTTTGCTTCATTTATAAAAAAAAAAGCTCCTCGTATTAGCTTTCATAAATCAAACCCCTTTTTAGTAGTCCCCAGTAGAAGCACTTAATCGATTCAAAAGTGATTACCCAATGCTGGCTGTGATTATTGTTGCCACTCTGGAAACTTTTCCTATTCCGGACGAACCGAAACTTGGGCTGACCAGCTCTTAAGTCCCGACAACCGCAAGGCACTCTCTCCCTCTGAAGTGAAGAACTTGTTCAGCTCCGACAGCAAATCCATTCCTTTCCGTGCACTCTTAACCGAACAGAACAGTACGGAATACTAGTCGTTCCTAAGCCGCAAAGTTTTGAAAGCCCAATGAAATTTTGTAGCCACATGGCACTCAATTTTCCAGAGAACCCACCAATGCCAATTCAACAACCCACCGCCCGCTTGCCACCCAAGCACCACCCATCCTGCCGGCAACTCTGGCAACCGCAAAATTTAAGCACGATTCCAATTATCCTGCAGATACAAAATGCACATGCATGCGGCAGGAAGGGGGCATAAATTGCCAAATATGCAGAGATGCCCCTGCCCATCCTGCATAGCTCCCTTTGCACTCCACCTCTTACAGGAAATCTTCTAGCTTCTAGCCCCCTCCGAAAAGCCCAAAAAAAGTACATCTAGCCAATCTTTTGACTTTTCTTTGACAACTTTTGAATGCAACAGAGGCTGCGAGCAAAATCAAGCATCGTACAATGTCTTTCAATTGGATGCATTCGTGAATACCAGCAAAATAGCCGACTTGAAGCAGTTCCCCAAAGTGTCGACGGCCATTGATGCGATTTCCGTATCCGGGCGAACGCTCCTCTCCCTCACGCAATCCATCCAGAACATTTTGGAGAACATGCTGCAGACGTCCTCGTTCAATCTGACCACGTACCGCAGTAGCGTGGGTGCACCCACGCCCGAAAAGGATTTGGCCACGTTCATTGATCAAATGCAAAGAGTGGCCTTACAGGTGAGAACCGACCAGCCCGGCCCAGCCCATCCCAACCTCCCTGCCACCCAGCTGATTAGTTTCAATTAAAAGGGGGCCTGAAGGTACCGCCGGAATTTACGTGCACTGAATTAAACCGCATTCCAGTCACTCATCCGATTTGTTTTTGTTTCTGCACCAGATTCAGGATGTGGCCACGTCCTCGCGCATGACCACGCTGGGCAGCCGGTCCAAGCGGTTGCAGGCCTCGATTCTCCAGCCCCTGGAAAATCTCCAGAACGAGATACTATACCACCTAACGGCATTGGAACTGCAGAGGGATCCTTGGGCCAAGCAGGTCAACCAGACACTAAATCACCTGAAGAGCATCCAAGGATATCTGGAGAACAAGGCCGGAGAAATATGTCATAACTTGACAAGAACCTACACAGATCGGTAAAATGTCTCTTATTTAATATCTTTAATAATATAAATCTTTTGAAATCTATTTAAATAAGAGTTAAATAACCACACCCAGATCTCAGTATTATGTACAACTAAACCATGTTAGCCAAAGTTAATTGAGGCAATTTCCAGTGATTTTTGAGCCAAAAGTTAGGCGCCCCGTTGCCCACTTTCAGTCACTTTTTCGAGTGTCCGTAGCACTTGAAACTGAATTCTCAGTCCTACTGTCCGTCTGGCTGTGTGTTTGAGTTTTATTATTGTGTTTCTCTTTCATGGTAACTGGCAGTGAAACAAACAACTCAAACAACAACTGCAGCACTGCACCCTGGAGTACTGTACATAGTTTCCGGCTTTATCAGATAATTGAAAGTCCTAATCGTTTGATTAAGTTTGCCAAGTGTCATGATTGCATTTTCTGTGTTTTTCCAAGTGTGCACTTTACGTGTTACCACAAACACATAAGAGAGGTAGTAAATGGCCTCAATGCCAAATATTTTCGTTACTTAAACTCTGAATCTGAAGGCTTTCAGACCAAATTAGTTTTTGTTTTCGAGTCTAATTTCCCACAATTAAGGACACTTATGTGGTGAAGGAATACTCATGAATGAATGTTATGTGAATTTATTATTGCTTTCTTTATCGCCTTAGTTTGAAGGCCTACTTGACCAGCAGTCGTGCCACCATGGAGTCCCAGCTGGGCGACACTACCACTAAGTGCAGACCCTTTTACGATACCTTCGATGCCAGTCGCACCTTCTTGTGCCGCAACATGGTCGATTTCATCAACGGACTCACCTTCTTCATCTTTCTGACCCTGTTGTTGTGGGCCATTGGCACGCCTGTGGGCCTGAATCTGATTACCATCCAGACGCGCCTCAATGTCATGCAGGCGGCCCAGCAACGCAGCAAGAACCGGCAGAGGAGGAGCGATCAAAGTCCGGAACGGGAGAGTCGCGGGGCAAGCCGAGGGCGGAAGAAGCAGCGGACGAGCAGTGCAGCGGCCAGCGGACGGAGCGGCAAGCGGGATCAAAGCCGGGAACGAAGCACGAGCAGCACGGCCAGGCAGAGGCCACCACTGTAAGATATGTATATCCCTATCAAGTGTATAAGCGTTAAATTCTCACCTTACTCCAGACGACGCACTGCCACGGAGGAAACCTTGGATTTGGAGGAGGATTCTACTCCCTCAAGAAATCAGCAGCAACAGCAGCAGCAGCAACATCAACAGCAGCGGCGACAGCAGGAGACAGAGCGGGAGCGGGTGCGCGAACGGGATCAGCGAAGTCGGGAACGAGAGTTGAGTCGCGGCCGTGACGTATCCGCCATAAACACGACCGTGCGCAGTCGCAGCCGCCAGCAGCTGTAAGTATTGGCCAGTCCATTAGACCCAAATCGAACCATTTCAAACTCATGGCATCCATTGCATCAGGCGCCACGATCCCGAGGATGACAATTGGGGCTCATCCAGTGGACCCAGTAGGGCCAACTCCCGGGAAAGGGAGCGCGAGACCAGTCAGACTAGAAAGATACTCAATATTTGGCAGTCACGAAATAAGATCAAGACGCCACTGTAAGTCGAGGCCCCATTCCTTTAGATCCTATTTGGTTCTAACTGTCCTGAAAACTGTTCTTATTTTGGACATGATTTCTTTTCCCCGTAAAGTCACCGTCAGGGGACTGAAGAATACGATCTTGACGATGCCCCTCAGGACAGTGGGTGGCGCTCCCAGAATCAGAACCAATCTCAGAACTTTATCCCGAACCAGAATCGTATAAACTCCAGTGCCAGTCCGGAAACTCGAACCGATCCGCGTACCCAGCGCTCCAATCTCCGTACTAAACACAAGTTGTAAGTGACCCCCCATTGACCCCGTTTAGTGACCACACCCTCACTGCCCCCTCTCTTTTGTGCCAGACGTAGTACCAACGCGGATAGAGCTAGCAGTGAAACGGTCCGACGCCCCGTAACCCCCGTGCTGAGCGTCAATCCGGACATTCCGGCCGCCGTTCCGATGCCCCGCACACCGATGCGACTGAAGAGCCGGGTGTCGCTCACCGCCCGAGCTGTGCAGGACATTGTCAACAAGCGGAATCAGCGCCTGTGAGTGTCTCAGTCCCGTATGAATCCTTGGCCCCCCGAAGCACCACCCACACCACAGACACCCACTCACAGCCACTACTTTCACCCAGCAATGCCGTGTTTTTTTATAAAAGTTTAATTGAAAATTATCCAAACAGGCAACGCACCGGTACCGATGAGTTCGATCTGGAAGAGAGCGATACCTATGGCGCCGGAGCCCATTTGGATGCGGATGTTGCGGCGTAAGTCATGGAATTCCTTCTCAGAAATCTTAAGAAACTATAAAGAGAGAAAGAGTTTTGCAACCTCATCAGTTTCATTCATAGACGTCGACTTAATTTCTCAAGTGGATTGCCCATGAGTTATTCAAACATTTGTGTCTTAAGATTTCTGGTTCAACATGCCAATAATCCGCCAATAATGAAAACCGTCTAAATGACAATTGATTTTGTTTGTTTGTTACATTTCAGCGCTCGGCGAACTCCGCCCCGCGGTGCTCCGCCTCCACCGCCGCCACCGACAGCCGGCTTGAACAGGTTCTACCAACGTTATTAACCGTATTCTGTTGCCAATGAGTTTGTTTTTTGCCTTGCGTTTGATTTTGATTTTGGTTTTTTGATTGATTTAATCGAATCTTGTGACAAGACAAGAGTACCAACCAAAACACACAAATTCTTATTGTGTTCACAGCGACAAAGTCTATATATTCTGAACTTACTTTCTCCCCCACCGCACTTCCACTCACAACCGTGAACTGTATCCTTTTTGGAGGATATGCAGTGGCGATCGCACGGTGCGCTGGAACGAGGACGACAACGAGGACTTTGTCTTCGAGGAGGCCGACGCCCCCAAGGACCCCATGTACTTGAGCCACAATCTCCACTGATCTTGAGATCCCATCGAATATCAACCACCATCTCGATTATTGCAATATGTTTTTGTAGCTCACCTTTTACTAATCCGTAGTTCGTAAGTGAAATGTAGCCATAGAGACGAATCAATATGTTTTTAGGCATTTAACAGGCGTAAATAAAACTGCATAATCTGTAGCCAATTAATTGGACGCAAATAATCGTAAATAAAAAATAAAAATTAGTTAATTCTTAAAAATGATCCATTAGTTGTTCTGGCCATGGCTCAGATGGTGGGTCGCTTTCTGCTGCTTTGCGTATTATTCCAGCCATCTCTCCAACTGCAAAAGATCTCGGACATTACTGTGGTGTCGCGGATATTCTATTACCATTCCAATGTCAATATGCTGGTATGTCCGGCAGGAGTGGAGGATATATTGATGCAGCTTTACCTGGGATCGTCGGGAGCTTCGAACAGAGAGCTAAAAACCGCATTGGGCGCTAGGGGCGCAAACCTGACGACCTTTATGGAGTCCTATCGAAGCTCCCGATCACAGATCGCAAGGGATAATCCACAATATCACTTCGCCAGTCGGTTAATCACAGCCAAGAGCGTGAAGCTTCTACCCCACTTCCAGAAACTATCCCAACAATATCTCAATATGACTACCGACAATACCCTGAGTGCCCAGAATGCCGCGAGCATCAATCAATGGATATCCTCGGAAACAAATGGTAAAATCCAACAGCTGTTAGACCCACTGGCGTTGTTGAGCGACTCGTCAAAGCTTCTCTTCGTAAATACCAACACCTTTGAAGCCAACTGGATCGGCATAAAGAGAACCATTCAGCAGAATTTTTTTATGCCGCTGACGGAACAACATGTCCCCACTACCATGTTAATGCTCGAGGGGAAATATTCATACATATACCAAAAGAAATTGGAGGCCTACGTGGTGATTATTCCCCTTTCCAACGCCACAATGTCCATGGCTCTGATAGTGCCCAAAACCTTCAGGGGCATTGCCAAAGTGGAGAAGAACCTGAAGTATCTGGACTTGGATGCTAGTCATCTCAAAAATGTTAGAATCAAAGTGCCACTCTTCAGAATCCACTACAGTCAGGATGTGACCCAAGCACTGATTGATGTCGGAGTGAACCACATATTCACTCACACCGATCTTGACAAGCTCACCAAACCGAGGCAGAGACTCAAAGTCGACAGGATCTTGCAGTCAAATTTTATCGAAGTTAACAATCAGGGAGTTTCGGCTGGATCGGCTTCAGGTTATTATAAATGTGTATATTAACTATTTTTGCTAGATCATTCTATCATTTTATTTTAGATGATTTCTTAATGGACAGAACGAGTCCCAAAACAGTCAAGATGTTAACAGTGAATCGTCCTTTCTTGTTTGCTATTGTGAAGGATAAGAAGATTTACTTCTTTGGTCGAGTTATTCGACCTGATGCTTGAACTTCAGTCTTAAAATCTAAGCACTATGAATTCTTTCAAATAAAATAAGATTTTGTTAATCCGTAAGGATTAACTTGAGCAAAGGGTACATAAACCTAATATGATCTAATATTGTTCTTTATAATAATTCGTATATTAATAATCAATGCTATGACTAAACACATATTATTCTCTTAAATTGGGGCCTTACTTAGAGTCTCAAATTGTTTGGATGGGTCAGTATTGCAGAAGTTCTTCCTATTTAACTTCTTCTTCAGGATGAACTGTGTCTTAGTGTCTTTATTTTCAACAATCTGTAGTTCTTAAGTGAAATTCAGCTATAGTAGCAATTCAATACTTTTTAAAGCAGACATTTAACAGGCTTTAATAAACTGCATAATCTGTATCCAATTAATTAGACGCGAATAATCCTAAACTAATAATAAAAGTGAGATAATTCTTATCCATTAGTTATCCATTAGTTTTACTTCGACCATGGCCCGGATAGCTTGTAGTATTCTGCTGCTCTGTGTAGTGTTCCAGTTATCTCTGCAATTGCAAAAGATTTCGTACATTACCCTAGTGTCGAGGATATTGTATTACTATGACAACGTTAATATGTTGGTATGTCCTGCAGCCGTCGAGCAGAGCTTGATGCAGATTTACCTGGGATCGTCGGGAGCTTCGGAACGAGAGCTGAAAGCTGCTTTGGGCCACACGGGTACAAGCCAGAGTGCCTTTATGGAGTCCTATCGACACTCCCAATCTCTTCTCGCCAGGCAAAATCCCCAATATCACACCGTCAGTCGTTTATACACAGCCACGAGCGTAAAGATTCTACCCCAATACCAAAAACTATCCCAACAATATCTCAATATCACTGCGGACAACACACTGAGTGCTCCCGGGGCCAAGAACATTAATCAATGGATATCTTCGGAAACAAATGGTAAAGTCCGAGGGATAGTAGATCCCCTAGAGTTTTTGAGCGACTCGTCGAAGCTTCTCTTGGTGAATGCCAACACCTTTCAAGGCAACTGGATCGGACTACGCAGAACCGTTCAGGAGAAGTTCTTTGTGCCGCTGGTGGAACGTCATGTGCCCACTACTATGTTAGTTCTCGAGGGGAAATATTCATACATATTCCAACAGAAATTGGGTGCCTACGTGGTGATTATTCCCCTTGGCAACTCCACAATGTCCATGGCTCTTATTGTGCCCAAAACATATAAGGGTATATACCATGTAGAGAAAAACCTACAGCACCTGGACTTGGATGCCAGTTACTTGAAATATGTAAGGATAACTCTTCCACGCTTCAAAATCCTATACAGTCAGGATATGACCCAAGCACTGATTGATGTCGGAGTCAACCACATATTCACTCACGCCGATCTCGCCCATCTCACGAAAGTGAAGGAGAAACTTAAAGTCGACAGTATCTTGCAATCAAATTTTATCGAGGTTAACGAAAAGGGAGTTTCGGCTGGATCGGCTTCAGGTTAATATAGATATAGTTACTATTTTTCAAGAGTCTACCATATTTTTATTTCAGAAGATTTCTTAATGGCCAGATCGAATCTCAAAATCAGCAAGATTTTAACAGTCAATCGTCCCTTCTTGTTTGCCATTGTCAAGGGAAAAAAGATATACTTCTTCGGTCGATTTACTCGACCCAATGCTTAAGCATGTAATCATTACAAGTATGATGTTTTATAACTTACGGCCCTTTCTTACTTTTAAAATAAATATCATTTTTTGTTTGTCTTAAATTGGCGCTTTATTTAATGTCTCAAATTGTTTGGATGGATCATAGATTTGCTGTTGCAGGAGTGTCCTGTTTACTTCTTCTTCAGGAAGGGGCTGACGACAGCGGGAGCGGCGTAGGTGGTGATGGGAGCGGTGTAGGCGGGGGCGGCGGCATAGGTGGTCACCGGAGCGGTGTAGGCCGGGGCGCTGTACACCGAGGCGGTGTAGGCGGGGGCAGCAGCGGCGTAGGTGGAGTAGGCGGGAGCGGCAGCGGCATAGGTGGAGTAGGCGGGGGCAGCGGCGGCGTAGGTGGTCACTGGGGCGGTGTAGGCCACAGGAGCGGCAGCGGCATAGGTGGCGGCGTAGGCAGGAGCAGCCGAGTAGGTTGTCACCGGGGAAGCCAGGAAGCCAGCCTGGGCGGCGGCGAAGCAGAGGGCCAAGCAGATGAGGAACTGCAGAAAGAGAGTTAAATCCTTAAGAAATGTTCTGACATCCTGAAAATCAGGCTGGTGTACCCACCTTCATGTTGAGTTGTTTTGGTTGTTTGGGTTGGTTGGATTGTCAGTGACTGATGCTGTTTCCAAATTGGCTCGGCCATTTTATAGGCCAATTGTCGCCACCGATTGCCAAACAAGTTTCCGGCTTAGGCAGCCCAAATACAAAATCCAAATTAGAACACAATTGCGCCCGCAACCAGATTTCTGCCCAGTAACGTTCATTGAACGCGGATGCCGCGCCTCAGATGTTTGTCGGGTATTACCAGCCAACAGCGTGTCAAATGGATTACTCTCTGCCAGCATTCCCTTCGATCGATGGCGACACCTGAAACGGACAGAGAACCGATGTTACTATTCTGATTACCGATTGTTTGTTGAAACAACTTGGGTGATTTTGCGTGGGTGATTTAAACTACTTACCCCTTGAATGGGATCGCCTTTCCGTCTGCCAAAACCATTATTGTCCTAAATTAGTTATTACGTATAGACCCGAGAATTTGTCAAAACTTAAGTTACAATTATGCATAGTTATTTGCTAATGACTAGAAGTAATTATAAAGTAAAGTTTGTGCAGAAATGTCACAAGACTAGAGTTGAAATAAAACTGCAAAGTATTTAATATTAGCCTACAACTTTGGTTCAAGGCACTTTGAATAAGTGTACGGCCAGTCCTACACCGGAGTTTCTGGCAGGGCGGACGTCTTTGGTTCCACTGACCGCGGTTTCTTTCGCCGCACATCGATCTCGTAGAGCGCCAGACCTAGTTGGTGGACGAACGAGCTAAATTGCTTATTGAGATAGGAAACACTGAATGAGGGCGGCTGCTCCACGGCGCAGGTCCCTCGGAGATCGTCGTCCGTCCAGTGCGGAGCATCCAAGTCGCAGGGATGCCTTCCCTGCAGGCGAGGAAATGCCTCCGTCGATAGATGCGGATAGAAGACATTGAGTAGCTCGAAATTCAGGTAACTGCTAGCATTGGAGCGCGCCAGCGCCTCGTGAAGCTCGCCACTGAGCGATGCAGGAATGGCCAAATACAGCTTGTAGCGCAGACGATTTGGACCCGACAACTTCACCTCGCAGTTGCCACTGATGAGTTTCACCTTTTGCATCAGAAAGTCCAAGGAGAGGCCCCCGTATTCGTACAAATAGAAGTCCCGCTGCCGGCGATAGCGCTGGTGGGTCTGCATGTTGAAGTGCAGCACTCGGGAGCTCGGAATGTTGACCAAGTGCAGGGGCAAGCTGTACATGTGGGAGGTCATCAGGTGAACGTGCGTGGCAGCTGGCTTTGTGGCCACTACATGCGACATATCCGCAGCCAGAGGGTAAACCCCTGCCTGGTGTATGAATCCAAAGAAAAGGGTCAGCGCCACATTGCTCACGTACCAGATCTTTAGCAGATATGGGGCTGAGGCCTTGCTTGAGAGCAGTGTATCGTAAAAGCGGCGCAGCAGAGGGTGTTCCTTTTGGAAGGGATACTTTGCGCTGAAACCGGTCACCAGTTTAGGAGCGTGAAGGACCAACAATGGGAGCGTCACAGGCAGCAAAAAGCGAGGTTCCTGATGGTTGATCAGCGACAGAAAAAAGAGCGGCACGAATATGGCACCTGACATGAGAGACACAATGCTCTGGAAGCGGGGCAGCACTTGGTACTCAGCCTGAAAGAAGCGCAGCAGCAGCTGGGCAAAGGCCCCCAGCGATGCCAAGGCCAGGACATTAAAAAGCATCGGCATGTTCACCATTAAATGTACATAGCACGGATGCACTCCATGACTGGCAGTCTGTGCAGAGTCCAGATTCGCTTTGATAAAGTTCCACGGCGTAAAAACGAAGTTGTCAATGGACAGGTGCATCATGTGGAGTTCTCCCACGGTGAGATGTTGGTAATACAATGAATCACAGAAGATGAACACAATGAGAGCCGGAAGGGAACAAAGGCAGAAGAGTGCGATCCGCAGGTTAAAGTCCCGAAACGTAACAGTCCGCGTGCCCATGCCGCGCAACAGCCAGAAGAAAACCATTGGAGCTCCAAAAAGAAGGAAAGTCGGACGATTGAAGACACCGGCCACACATATCGTCGACATGGCCAGCAGGTGCTGGAGATTGTGGGCTGGCAGGGCGTTCTTCAGCTTCCAAATTCGTACACGCTCGCTGATAGATTCTGCCTTTTCGTATTTCTCCTCGAGGAACTCCTTTTTGTAAACCACCGTATTAGTGCGCAGCATGCACTCGGACACCAGACAGAGCAGCCAGGAGCACATGGCCATCTCCAAGCTGTTGGAGAAGGTGCGGGTACCGAAGACAAGCAGCACCCAGGAGCTACCCAGCGCCAGTAGCCGGATCTCAAAGCGCATTCCATAAAGCCGGCAAATGCGATACAAGCACCAATCATTGCTGTACGAAATCAGGGTGTAAATAATCCGCGGAAACACCACATAGGCATAGGTGCCAAGTATATCAATGTTCCACCAGGTGCGAAGATATATGGCGATGAACTCGTAGAAACTCCAGGGCACTCGAAGTAACGCAAAAGGTAATGTGATGCTTCTCACCGGCATCGAGTTGTTGAATTCCCAGGTCCGAGTGTGCTCCAGCCGAAAGTGGTCACCTGTAGGCAGCGATATTTGATTGAGGAATGGGATTTGTTAAAAGCATCATGGACTCTCACCTGTCATTACCTCCACGCTTTGGAAAAACTCGTCAGGATGCACATACCCCAGTTGGGGAACAAAAACAAGGACAAACCTTAGGGCCGCAAAGCAAAAGTACGTGCTCAGGTGACGGTCACCCGGAGCTCGGTTCTTCCAGATCTTGGTCAGACGCATTTTTAAGCGTTAACTCCCAAAAATACCTGAAATTTATGTTTTGTGATAAGAAAACTAAGAAGTATCCATTTGTTTTGGCTGGAGATTGCAATTAGTATGACTGTGCCGCAGTTTTGATGATTATACCACGGTATCAGTTGGTCACACTGTTAGCATTACAGTTTGAGAGGTACTCATGTTTGCGCCAAAGGTTTTGGAGTAATTGGTCTTTTAAATGTTAATTCTAATCAAAAATAGAGTTTTGTCAAGTTCTTATTTTTAAATTATTGTTAATTATTAATTATCAGGATGTATTTCATTTAATCGAGGAAAATAATCTTGAAAAAATTAATAAAAAAGTCGAATGGTCTGTAACTAATTCTGTTTTGCAAGCCTCGTTTGTCTGAACTTACGTAATTAATTATTTATAGTAAATTATTTTATAATAAATGAATAATTCCAGTATACAACCACTTTCCCGGAATGGCTTTTCCACCTCCACTTGCCACCACCTGATCCGACCCATTCAGATTTGTCTCACCTACTGTTGGATTGCATTCAAGCCGATGACGTAGTTTGCGGCCTGGCTAGGAAATTCGATATTGAATTACAGTTATATAAGCCCAGTTTTGTGGCAAAATAGTTCAGGAACGCACACACGACGCGGCTGCCATGATCCGCTGGCGTCTGTGGTTGCGGTGGATGATTGGACGTGCCACTGGATGGGAGGATGAGTGGGCTTCCAGTGTGGAAGTACGTCTCAATGGTCGTTGACAGACAGAGCATCTAAGCGCGACCCACGCGACTTAGATCAGCTAAGCTCCTTTCAAAATCAAGCCGGATCACCTACCCCAACCGCATCGAACGTGACTCACAGTACCTCCAGCCGACTCCGGAATCCGCCCCCGATCTAGTCTAAGTCTAGTCCCAATGCCGAGATTCGCAATTACGCTGATTTAGCCACTTGACAGTCTCAGTCCAATGGGCGCGCAACGCTCGCTGTCTTCGCGCTCAATAATTAGCAAATAAATAAATGAAATACCAAGTCTCTGCATAAATAAAACAAGCTTTTAATTATTCTGAAGAAACTCGAGCACCCACTCCTCGAATGGCAAACAAACGAAAGTGTGAAAAGCCTGATAGCGGCAATCAAAATGAAATTCAACTGAATCAACTATCTCCATAGTCGGCCATAAACACTCATCCGTCCCAGACTACCTCCTTCGAGGTTCTTGGAAACAGAAGCTAACGATAATTCAACGAGTTTAAAGCAGTTTGAATGAGAAAGTAGTGGCAAATCGGTGAAAAACGCAATTCAAAAGTTCGAAACTGTTACAAATTTTAATCGTTGTATCGTCGTTTCATTAATTTCCCAACATGGGACATCAGTTCTTTCTTCAATTATCCATCCCAACTCGAAAGTGAATTAGTGAAACAAAACTTTTGCTCTTGTCAGTCCAGTAATGTGGCAGCCATTTAACAAGGCATACTAGGCGCACTTAATGGGCCACGCCCACAGCGCCCACTTGAGGTGGCAGGGGTGGCGTTCAATCAACTTCGATGAGCAACAGTTTGCTGCAATTTAAGTTACACTTTGCCACCTGTCGTCCGGAAGCCCATTTTCTGGAGCTGAAAGCGCCAACCCCAAAGAGACACATCGAGCCGAAAGCGGCTCGGATGCGCTCGTCCTGCCGACGACTTTATGGCGCCCGCCTGCGCAGCGAACGTATAAAAGGAGGACTCCGGCCGGAGGATACATCAGTTGGCCCAGCGGAGCGGCGCGCGTCTCTCAAATCGGAAACCAAAAAGTTCCAAATACTTCCAGTGCCATGGATAAAGTGAATAAGTGTTTAAATTAAATTTCAAAACTCTTTGTTTTTGGTGCTGTGAATATTACAGATTTTTTCTAAAAATGTAAGTGAAAAAAAATACTTAAATTCTCTGTTTTTTTGAAATCTTATACATTTTTAAAACTAAGGCCCATTTCTTATCAAAAGTTCATTGTCTGATATTTCATTTCTAAACTTTTTAGAACCACTTAAAATTAAACAAAGTGTGAAGCTTTTTTTATAATTTTTAATAACAATTTTTGAAGATTATTTTTTGTGGTCCTCCTATCTTCTAACTGTCTTTTGATTGTTTTGAGTTTCGCCTTCTTGGTCGCTATTTTTGGCACTTGTCTTATCAAACATTTCCCATTTGGGAATTCCATCTGTCGCCGTCCGTCGGCACATGTGTATCTGCAATTTTCTTTATCTCTTGGCCTGGCTTCGCGTGTGGGCCACAATTAAATGGTAATTAAAATGTCACCAGCGGGGTGTGAGTGTAGAGGGCGATACCGCCGCGGAAGATCAAGGCTGCAATTGTTTTTAATTTCTTCTGCAGATTGTTAATTCATTAAGCTAAGTACTCGTTCAGCATTTAAGATAAAATATGGTTAAAGGATAAACATTAAACACCTTGAATGAAAAACAATGGAAAACGAATTTATTTCACGACATTGACATTGAACAGTTTCCAGAGGCCAGTATGAAAGCAATAGATTACAGGAGTTTAAAGGACACCACGGGTGTTCCAACCAGCCTCTGGTCAGGGACGATTACAGGCTGTGGCACAAGGGCTTACAGAGAAAATAATGTGTTTAAATATAGAATAATATTTTTAAAACATTAATTTTAAATACACTCCTTCTTGAAGCATACTCTCCATTTTTTAAAGAAAAGTTCTCCTGGTTTAACTAGAAATAGAGGTTTATAGTGTATTTCGTTAATTTCGTTGGATGTATTTAAAAATTGTGTGTTTATTTGAATCCTCCCCTTGGGCTAGAGATTGTAAAATGCAACAGAGACCATCACTGGCCAACCGAATAAATGGCCATAATTAGCCATGCGCCATTAAGCCTGATTTCGTTTGTTTATTCCCAGTTATTGGCCAATCCATTCAACGAGTCCAGCATGTGAAAAGCCGCGGGGAAAATGCAATTTTCACGAAAGCTGCGCTAAAAGGGCCGGAAAAGTGAGAGGATATTCGGAAAAGGATTATCAGAGGTGCTGTTCCGTCTCAAAACGAGTGATTTTTCACCTTCTGGCCGAAACAGATCGAGTGCAAATTTCGACTGGCTAAGCTCGTGCCGCGATCGGCGTATACTGCCACGCCCCCCGGTGCAGCTCCATCGCCACCGCCCGCGTCATTCCTTTCGACTCGCCGCAGCATGGATCGCAGCGGGAGTGCAAACAATGGCTCTGAGCTGGGTGGCTCCACGGCTTCCACGGCGTTTCGCACAAACACGGCTCCCTGGAACAATGACAAGGAGTCGCCAAACAACGAGGACGATTCGAACGAGGACGATGGGGATACTGCCACGCCCGCAAAAGTCACAGATCCTTTAGCACCGCGATTGGCAAACAATGAGGTGAGTCTTGCCCTAAAAATTCTGTAATTATTATCCTCAAAATATACAAAAATGTCCTCCTAGTAACCTAACCTATAATCCTGCATTATTTTCCCCATGATTCCAGCGAATTTTGGTTGTCTCCGTGACGGAACGTACCCGAGAAACTTGGGGTCAGAAGGCCGAATTCCTGCTGGCAGTGATTGGCTTTGCCGTAGACCTGGGCAATGTCTGGCGATTTCCTTACATTTGCTACCAGAACGGCGGCGGGGCCTTCCTGGTGCCCTACTGCGTGTTCCTCATCTTTGGAGGCCTGCCCCTATTCTACATGGAACTGGCCCTGGGTCAGTTCCATCGATGCGGATGCCTCAGTATCTGGAAGCGCATCTGTCCGGCGCTGAAAGGTAAGTTGAAAAAAGAATAAACAACAGGCTTATTATGGGCTTTAAAAAAAAATGATTCGCAAATAAAAATTTACAATATAAAGCTGCCTCCGGCGGCCAAATACGATGCAAGATTAAATGGCAATTTAAATGAATTACAAATATTGAGTTTTAGTCGCGAGCAGGTATATTTATTGCGAATAAAAAAGAGATTGCATATTGGAATCTACGAAAGCTTTCAATATTTACACACACCGGAGCCTTTTCGCCGGGGGGCCCCCTGAAATGTTGTAATGAGAAATTAAGTATACGCATGGGGGACATGCGATGCTACACATGGCTTTGCAAAATCTCATGTTGTTGATGTCTGATATTTCACGCTCTGGTAAGCAATATTGTCTCAGCCAGATCCTGTGGCCACCCGCACTTGTTGGAGCAAAGTTGTAGCTGCTTTGTTTTTTTATCATTTCGGGGGTAAGGCACACACACACACACCCCAAAAAAAAAAAAAATTAGTGACATGGGAAGTTGCTATTGTGTGGTTGGGACATTATCAGGCATTCAAACGGATAAGAAGTCGCCAGATTTGTTGCAACAATTAACGAGGCATTCAAGCGGAAAGCACAAGGCCCAAATCAGAGCCTGCCATCCATCCGGGCTTAAAGCCCTAATTAAATTGTCCTCAAATTGATTTACACCATGAAGAGCCATGAAAAGCTATGAAAAGCCTGTCTCAACGGCCGGAGCAGCGCAGCAACAGAAAGGATCTACTGAAGGGGAAGTCCTATTCAAAGTTTTGCGTATCGAGTTGATAATTTCATTAGATGACAAACAAAAATGTATGGCTATAGCAACTTTGCAGCTCGCTTTAAGCCGGGTCAAAACTTTTGCCAACTCACTTGTCTAGGCCAAGTCATTTGGCCTCTATTTCCACACCCGTCTTCCGTCCTCCGCCTCCCGCCAAGTGCTCCGTCTTTTCAGTCGAAAAGCAAACAGCACTTTGTGGCAGGCAGTCGTCATTTGCTCAACAAGTGTTTGCTTTGGCAAACCTTTTGTCGAGCGATTCAAATGAAAAGGAGCAGGAAACTTAACTTAAAGGAGCAGGCAAGCCAAATCACGTGACGTGTCTTATTGGCCTCATAAGTAAACGGGCAGTAAAAGGAAGTCCCTGGCTTGCACAAAAGCTGAAACCTGCAAATTGTCACGCGGGAATATTCCGATTGCTTTTCTGATTCCTCGTTTCCGACATTTTTCAATCAGAAGTATTGGCATTCCCAGGTCGGCTTCTAAGTGCTACCTGTTGATTTGAACGACTGACTTGGTTGCCTCGTTAGCCAAACGATTAAGTTAATGAATAACGAACACGATTTCCCGGAGCAAGATATTCAAATGAAATGGTTCCGATTCCAGGTGTCGGCTATGCAATCTGCCTAATTGACATCTATATGGGCATGTACTACAACACGATTATTGGATGGGCGGTGTACTATCTCTTCGCCTCGTTCACCTCTCAACTGCCATGGACGTCCTGCGATAATCCCTGGAACACGGCCAACTGTATGCCCGTAACAAGTGAGAACTTCACAGAACTGGCAACCTCACCGGCCAAAGAGTTTTTCGAGTGAGTCCTCCAACGATATCCTTAAAGATATGGTATGTTTCATTTATTTCTCTCATAGGCGAAAGGTTTTGGAGAGCTACAAGGGCAATGGCCTGGATTTTATGGGTCCCGTAAAGCCCACCTTGGCCCTCTGTGTCTTTGGCGTGTTTGTCCTGGTTTATTTTTCGCTTTGGAAGGGTGTCCGAAGTGCTGGAAAAGTCGTTTGGGTCACAGCCCTGGCTCCATACGTGGTGTTGATTATCCTTTTGGTAAGGGGAGTCACACTGCCCGGAGCGGATGAGGGGATCAAGTATTACCTAACCCCGGAGTGGCACAAGCTGAAGAACTCCAAGGTGTGGATCGACGCAGCATCACAGATTTTCTTCTCCCTGGGTCCTGGCTTTGGAACCCTACTGGCATTGTCCAGTTACAACAAATTTAATAATAATTGCTATAGAGATGCTCTCATCACCAGTAGCATTAACTGCCTGACCAGTTTTCTGGCTGGGTTTGTAATATTTTCAGTTTTGGGGTGAGTTCTTGCTTTTAAACAAAACTATATAGTATTATCCTTATATTATTTTGATTTTCAAACCGATACATTCAATTTTCCTTTAGATACATGGCCTATGTCCAAAAGACCTCCATCGACAAGGTGGGTCTGGAAGGTCCTGGCCTGGTATTCATTGTCTATCCGGAGGCCATTGCCACAATGAGTGGCTCGGTGTTTTGGAGCATTATATTCTTCCTGATGCTCATTACCCTGGGATTGGACAGCACTTTCGGAGGACTGGAGGCAATGATAACGGCCCTGTGCGATGAATATCCTCGAGTGATTGGTCGCCGGCGTGAGCTGTTCGTCCTTCTGCTGCTGGCCTTCATCTTCCTTTGCGCCCTGCCGACGATGACTTATGTGAGTATATGCTGGATTTCAGGAGTGTGATTCGGTTAATTAACCCCCAAGTGCGGCTAATACATATGCATGTCCGGGACGACCAAGTGGCCCATTTAACGCACCATAGTGTCCAAATAGCAGGCCCCAATCGCCTGTTTAAATATGCCAACTAGGACTCGATGGATTGCCGTGTTAAGTGCTTTTTATCGTTCGCCAGTTAATCTCCTCCACACACTCGCTTAACTTTTCCAACCCATCCTTTCTTGCATTTTTATCACCTGTCAAGAGCAATGGGCTTGTTTGCCCTCACCTGGCCAAACAACCACCGCACTGGTAGTCAATGCTCTGGCTCTGGCTTCGGGTCCGTCTACTGCTCCTGCTCCTGTTGCTCAAACAGTGTCTAAACACTTCAAGGAGTTCAGTTCGTTCCACCTCCTGCCACTTTATCTGATTACATTTGAAATTGTAATTTGCCGCCTTCTTTATTTCTGCCTGTCCTGGCCACTTGAAGTGACCCGTTTCGGTCAAGGGATCAAGTCATTCAATAACTCAGCCCGCAGCCATTAATCAGTGTCGGTTTTATTCGAATCTTTACAATATGATGGCTAATTAAATTGCCATATTTTTCCTGCCTAGATATTTAGTTTTAAATAATAAATAAAATATCCTTCTAGGGTGGAGTGGTGCTGGTTAACTTCCTGAATGTCTACGGACCGGGATTGGCCATACTTTTTGTGGTCTTTGTTGAGGCCGCCGGAGTTTTTTGGTTTTACGGAGTGGATCGCTTCAGTTCGGATGTGGAGCAAATGCTGGGCGCCAAGCCGGGACTGTTCTGGCGTATATGCTGGACATACATTAGTCCTGTGTTCCTGCTGGTAAGTAAAGGAAAGAACATCTACAAAATGGATATTATAATCTTTTATTTTAGACCATTTTCATATTCTCCATACTGGGCTATAAGGAGATGCTTGGCGAGGAGTTCTACTACCCCGACTGGAGCTTCCAGGTGGGCTGGGCGGTCACCTGCTCCTCGGTGCTGTGCATCCCCATGTACATCATATACAAGGTATTTTTCGCTTCCAAGGGCGGATGCCGGCAGCGGCTAGTTGAGTCCTTTAAACCGGATGACAGCTGCGGCTCGGTAGTGCCCGGCCAGCAGGGCACTTCGGTGTGACATGACCACGGCGTCCACCTCAACATTCGCACCAGCTGCACCACCATCAAGATCTACAATCTGCGGTGCAACGGCAGCAGCCATAGCTTGTCACCAACAACCTCAGGGGCTTTCGACACGAGGAGCTACCACGCCTTCAACCACACAAAAAATCTCAACCAGAGCTGCCCCCCACCGGATCCGATCCGGAATCAGTATCAGTATCAGCATCAGCATCAGTACGAGCACGGGAATCAGCCCCAGAATCGGATCAGCCACGATATTATTAGTACTAGTCTTAGGCAGTCGCATAGCCATAGTATGAGTCTCTGCTCGGTGCAGAGCAATCCCATGACGAACATGAGGACGCCACTTTCTGCCGAGGACAATAACTGCTCCCTGCTCAAGTTTCCCCTGGCCAGCGAGTGGCTGGTCTAAGCGCCCACAAACTCACACACTGTACAGCTTGGGGGTCCTGCAAAGCAGCCATTTTACAGGACTCCCAGAGCTCCAGTTCAAAAGTTGGGAAATGATGATGAAATCGAGTAACTCAACGTTTAATCTTGTTTGATTGCTTTGCAAGCTCATAGTGAGCCTAAGTATTGTAGTTGTCCAGAAACAGTAGAAACTCTAGCCCTAGTTTGTAAGCGTTAACTAGCTCAGCTGTAAGTAACGAGAACTTTGGTAAAATGCTTTCTAAACAAATATCTGCTCTAAGATAGAGATCCCTGTACAATGCATTACTCACACATTTTTCTGGCGTTGGAGAGGCAATCGTAAGACAGCCACTTGCATTGTTTCTCCACCGCGATTGTTGATTTTGTTTCTTTTAAATATAATTTCGGTTATACGAAATAAGAAAACAAGGGAAGTACTTTCTTGGGAGTGGTAATGGCAGTGGCGGATTTAACAGGTGGCCAAAGGCGCGCTTGCCCACTGGGCCCCCCCGACGAAAGGCTTTCAGGGCCCCTCGTGCTGAAAGTTACACCTTCGATTTCTTTTCCACAAATCTGCATCAAAATCTGGGAACAAAATATTTTAAAGATTTTTTGTCAAATTTTCTGGGCTGTCCCCTTCAAAATGTGCAGAATGCATGAGGAGCCCCATATGACCCACTGCGAAGGCCATATCTTAGGAAATATTCATCCGATTCTTGAACGGAATACCTTAAACGATTTTTGGATTGATTCTCCACAAATCTGCATCAAAATCTGGGAACAAAATATTTTTAAGATTTTTTGTCAAATTTTTTGGGCTGTCCCCTTCAAAATGCGCAGAATGCATGAGGAGCCTCATATGACCCACTGCGAAGGCCATATCTTAGGAAATATTCATCCGATTCTTGAACGGAATACCTTAAACGATTTGTGGATCGATTCTCCATGAATCTGCATCAAAATCTGGGAACAAAATAAGTTTAAGATTTTTTGCCAAATTTTCTGGGCTGTCCCCTTTAAAATGTGCAGAATGCATGGAGCGCCATATATGACCCACTGCGATGGCCATATCTTAGGAAATATTCATCCGATTCTTGAACGGAATACCTTAAACGATTTGTGGATCGATTCTCCATGAATCTGCATCAAAATCTGGGAACAAAATATGTTTAAGATTTTTTGTCAAATTTTTTGGGCTGTCCCCTTCAAAATGCGCAGAATGCATGAGGAGCCTCATATGACCCACTGCGAAGGCCATATCTTAGGAAATATTCATCCGATTCTTGAACGGAATACCTTAAACGATTTGTGGATCGATTCTCCACAAATCTGCATCAAAATCTGGGAACAAAATATTTTAAAGATTTTTTGTCAAATTTTCTGGGCTGTCCCCTTCAAAATGTGCAGAATGCATTAGGAGCCCCATATGACCCACTGCGAAGGCCATATCTTAGGAAATATTCATCCGATTCTTGAACGGAATACCTTAAACGATTTGTGGATCGATTCTCCATGAATCTGCATCAAAATCTGGGAACAAAATATGTTTAAGATTTTTTGCCAAATTTTCTGGGCTGTCCCCTTTAAAATGTGCAGAATGCATGGAGCGCCATATATGACCCACTGCGATGTCCATATCTTAGGAAATATTCATCCGATTCTTGAACGGAATACCTTAAACGATTTGTGGATCGATTCTGCATGAATCTGCATCAAAATCTGAAAACAAAATATTTTAAAGATTTTTTGTCAAATTTTCTGGGCTGTCCCCTTCAAAATGCGCAGAATGCATGGGGAGCCCCATATGACCCACTGCGAGGGCCATATCTTAGGAAATATTCATCCGATTCTTGAACGGAATACCTTAAACGATTTGTGGATCGATTCTCCATAAATCTGCATCAAAATCTGGGAACAAAATATTTTTAAGATTTTTTGTCAAATTTTCTGTACCCTTCAATGTACCCTGAAAAAATTTTGCCCACTGGGCCTTTTTCCTTAAATCCGCCACTGGTAGTCAACAGTCTTCAACATAATTCAGTTAAAAAAGCAAAAAAATATTTTAAATTATTTAATTTTTAATTACATAAACTTGCCGGTAGTTAGTAGTACGCGTAGCTGGCAAACTATTAAACAGGGAGCATACATTTAAAGGATTTTGTGGAAACGATAAAGGTGCAGGGATGATTGGTGAACTCGATGACGAATTTAATCCTGCGGCGCCTGCTTCCTTCGCTTGCGACGGGGCTTGCGCTTCTTCTTTCGCTCCTATTTACGCGACCCCTTACCGGCCTCTTCCTTGCCCTTGTCGGTCTTCTCCTCGGACTTCTTACCATCCTTGTCCTTGGTTTCCTTGTTGTCCTTGTCTTTGCTCTCCTTGTTCTTCTCCTTCGAGTCCTTGCTGTCGCTCTTGCCCTCCTCGGCGTCGCGGTTCGCCAGCTTGTTGTTGATCAGATTGTGGAGAGCGATGATCGACCGCACCATGGAGGCCAGGTAGACAACCAGCATCTGATCGTTCGTCTTCACGTACATGGTGCCCGTGAACTGGTCGTTGGTGATGTCCGGAAGAAGGTTGAAGATATCCTGCAGCTGGTACACAATCTGGTGGTTGATGGGCATCTTGCCATCGCCGACGCGCTGCAGATACTGCTTGATGTCGCGCAGTTGAGCATTCAGTCCTTTCAGACCCATCAGCTGGTTGGTAATTTTCTGCGACAGGCTGCCCACCGTCGTGTCCTTGATATCGCGCAGGAGATGCTCAACACCCACTTCCTCCGCCTCTTCCGCTCCGATTTCGCTAGGCACATGCTCGAAGGTCTTGCTGGTGGGCGAGCCATCGTCATGAACTTCCTCTACTGAGATGTACGCCTCTGTGGGCAGACCCAGGTCCTTGGGCTTTGCATCTATGATGACCAGCACGGAGTTGGGACAGTAGCGGCGGATGAGCTCATTGATAGCAATGTCGTTCTGATGCAATTTGGGACCAGTGTGGTACCATCCCACAACGCGCTCCCTGGCGTTGACCTTCTTAAACATGCCGTACATGTTTTCTAGGTAATCGTGGTCCAGGAACCACACCGACTTGTCCTTGTCGTCTTCGTCAAAGGGCACTGCAACGGAAGAAGTGGTTTAGTCGAAGAATTTTATGCTTTTGTAACCACTACTAACCTGCAAAACTGTTCGACACATCTAGGACTCCTTTGGAGCGCCAGCACCCAAGGAGGACGCCCACGACGCGTTTCTGGTTGCCGATCTTGCCCATGCGATTGAAGTGATCCACCACGGACAGCAGCACCAGCGGATGCACTATCACTTTGTTTACGCTCACCTCCGACGACGGCATCTTTGTTTTGTGTTTTTTTTCTGTAATCTGGCTGGGATTTCCTTAGTCAAAGCGCCGCTTGCTGGTTGCCAGGTGATATCTGCTTCCTGATCAGCGATTTAGCTATTTGCACAGCTCTTGGCAAAATTTGTTGCGTTTTGCGGCAAAATATGAGATCCCCAAAATGACAAGCAGAAACTTCTTCTTCTTTCTGCTAGACAGTCACACAGAACCCCACAGTGCTGAAAATTTGTTAAATAGTGTTGTAAAACATGCAAATGTAGCCTGAAACAAAGATGTTACTATATAGCCAAAAAATTTGGCCTATTTGTAAAATAAAAAATTTATGACAAATCTATTCATCTAGATTCTAGAAAATAAATCAAAATAAAGTATTGTTTTTTTTTATTTGAAAAGTTAGACTGTGACTATTTAAATTCCTACTGCTACGATTTGTATGTTAAAAATTTGCTTTTTTTGTACCTAAATATTATAAAAAAAATTTAGTTTTTATATAATTAGTCTACAAAAATTTGTTATTAATATACGATAAGGAAAGATAAGAAATTAACTTGAATAAACATACTTGGTGGTGTTGCCAACTATCGTGAAATAGTGTTACCAGAGTTTCAAATTGAAGCCCTGGTTTTCGCGGTTGCTTGCTTAACAACAATCTGGTCTCTTTCTTTTTAACCTCTCGTTTCGGCAAGGCAAGTACTCCCCACGTGGCTTTGTGCTTAATTTTCGCATTTTTTGCTATTTTTAAGTGTGTTTTAACTAATTGGATTGTTTTTTTCAATTAGATCCGACTTGGAGTTTAACGCGGAAGTCGCCACATCCAAAAAACTTATATCAAAATGGCCGATGTAATTATACTTCCGATCCCAGATAACATTTGGCATCCGTGCGGGGATTTGGCAAAATTCAATACAAACTGCCTAAAGCACGCCTTCCAAGTGTTATTTGTGAGTTCCCAATGGGATAGATAACTAATACCGGTTGTTTTAAACTTGCAGCAAGTCGATGAAAACCTGAAGAAGAAGCGTACCTTCAAGAAGTTCACCTACCGTGGTGTGGACTTGGACCAGCTTCTGGACATGCCCAAGTGAGTTTGTTTTACCCTATACATTAAGTGTTTTTATTAACATACGGTTTATACCACCAATAGCAACCAGTTGGTTGAGCTGATGCACAGCCGTGCCCGCAGGCGTTTCTCCCGCGGCCTGAAGCGCAAGCCAATGGCTCTGATCAAGAAGCTACGCAAGGCCAAGAAGGAGGCTCCCCCAAATGAGAAGCCCGAGATTGTGAAGACCCATCTGAGGAACATGATCATCGTCCCCGAGATGACCGGCTCCATCATTGGCGTCTACAACGGCAAGGACTTCGGACAGGTGAGTGCGGTGTCATTTTCAAACTATGGGTGGCTTTTCCCAACAGAAAATCACCCTAGTCTTGGAAAACGTCTAACAATAACTAATAACTTTAATCTACAGGTGGAGGTCAAGCCCGAGATGATCGGTCACTACCTGGGCGAGTTCGCCCTGACCTACAAGCCCGTCAAGCACGGTCGTCCCGGTATTGGTGCCACCCACAGCTCCCGTTTTATTCCTCTGAAGTGAGCGCTGCTCATCTTTTGGGATTTTGATGCGTAATAAATGAAACGTTCTTTTATAAGAACTTTGTCGCGTTTCTTTATATTGCGATGATCTACCCGAACCAAGAAAAGTAAAGGAGTGGATGAAACTTAAGAAATGTACGTTATCTATTTATTGGAACTTTTAAATCAGTTGCTGCTATCCCGCTGGCTGGGATATGGAGCTATCTGCGCTGGCGCCGGGCGATGTTCTGGCTGCTGCTCCCGATGCGGTCGTAGGCCGTGTCTTTCATAACTGGGGCACCCCTGGGACTCCTGCTCGTGGTCATCTCGCTCACATCGGCCGATCCGTAGGCGCTGTCTTTAACTTGAGAAGCATACGGTAGGAGGTTAGCGTAGCTGCTCGAGTGCCGGGCATCGCAAAGCTCTGAAAGTGCGGCAAGGATTAATGGCTAGCCGGCGGTGGTAGTCATCGCCTTAAGAACGTGCTGCCGTTGGGGGAAAAGCCCGCGCTTGCGGTCGTGCTTGAGGTTTGAAGGTGCTGGTTTAGAAGCTGCAGGCTATTACTTTGGTTGTGAAGGTTAAAGACGCCCAAAGCGGGATAAGCAGCGGTAACGATGGAGGACTTAAGGATGCTACGACTCGAGCTACGGGTGCCCACACCTATGGAGTTTTTGGCGGCGGGGGAGGTGTTTACATCAAAGGTGGTGGTGTTTTTGGTTAGCAAGGGATTGCTGCTCAGCGAGCGCTGGATCGTACGTGGATCAGCCTCACCTAGACGATTCAGCTCCGTTTCCATGGACGTGTACATGGTCAAGTTGCTGGCCAAAAGGTCCTGCCGCGATCCCAATGTCATCAGACTATCCGCATTGTTCAATGTGGAAGCTGTGGTGCTGTAGTTGGAGGAGGGACTGGCGGACTTGGAATACGACATGCCAACCTGGCCCATCTCGCTGGGACCTTGCTGCAGGGCCCCCGTTCTCGGGTCAAAGTGCTTCTGGGTGGCATCTTTTAGGGTGCTCTTGATCTCTTTGGCGCCCGGCTCCTGGGGGCTTAAGGTCTGCTTGCGCAGCGAGGAAATGTGCCCGGGTAGGGGCTCCCTGGATACAGACGAAGAAGGCGAGGCGGAATTGGTTTCCTCGTTCTCCTCCTAATCGTAGAGATATGTTAAAAGTTTGGCTATTATATGTAGGATATTGCCAAGATCTCACCTCATCCTCCTCAGTGATGATGGACGACTCAATCCAGTCTTTGATGCGGTTCTTCTTCTGCTGTCGATCCACATTCGTTTCTATCCCGCAATCGGCCAGGGTATACAGCAGTCGATTCTTCTCATCTGGGCTGCTGTGGAAGGAGTACATGGACGGGCACAGCTCGTCGGTCTCGTATTCGGCCATTTCCTTCTGAGCAGTCTTGGCCAGCCAGCGGTCATCTAGGAACTTGGTCACATCAGCCAGGCTCTTCGGGCGATTGGAGATCCTGGCAAAGAAGCGCTTGAACATGCGCTGAGCATTGGACGTTAGGAGTTTGAAAAGACGCGGGGTTCGTCTTAGAGGCATCATCATAAGACCGCCCTGCCAGGCCAAATACCGAACATAGCGAGGGTCGTCCGAGGCAGCCTTCTGCCAGGGCAAGCATCCCGTCAGGCACACAAAGATCACAATGCCAAACTGCCACACATCATGGCTGGGATCGGCTCTGCAACATATAAGGTGGGTTAAGTTTCTGGGTGTAGTGCTAATCAATTAGAGACTTACTTGTAGCTACCCTCTGGTTTGATTTCTAATACTTCAGGAGGACTGTATGGCAGCCACTCGTTACGGCGCTCCACCACGGATCCTGTGGGATACGATTCCCCGAAATCGCAGAGCTTGATGCGCTGAAAATCCGAGCGGTAGATAAGCACATTGTCCAATTTTATATCCCGATGCACTATGTCTCTGCAGGATTAGATTAAAAAATAATAGTTTTTGGATAAGGTTTCAGATAACTTTAATAGATACTTTTTAAAGATATCTTATGTCGAAAAATCGTACATTAGTGTTTAACATTTGGGTCACAGGTCGTATGAGTAATTTTTACATGGCAAACATTCAAAATGGCGGTTAATGTACGAAGAAGCATTTGTATTTTGTGAGTAATTGTTGTATACGAGGCATCAAATGCATTTAAAAAAACATAACAAATAATAATAAAAAATAAACTTAAAAATAAAATAAAAATAAAATAAAACTTACTTTGAATGCATGTAGTCTATGGCCGAGGCCAGCTGTTTGGCCACACGCTTGCTGTAAACTTCGCCAACGCCCGAGTCGGTCACGTTCGATGTGAGATCCCCTAAATATAAAGAAATGGTATATAACAAGGCTTTCTTTTAGAGAAAGTCTACCAAAAACTCACCAAGCGGAGCATATTCTTGGGTAAAAACATAAAATCCGGCTGTTTCAAAGGCCACATCGTAGGTGGTTACAATATGTCGATGTACACCCAAATGGAGTCCGTAGTGGAACTCCCGGTAGAAGTCCCGCAGAGTCACATAGGGTTTGGGCACAGCCTTTAGGACCATTTCAGTCTGGGATCCACGGTGCTCGACCAGCAGTATCTTTCCGAACCATCCTTCACCGACAATCTGTATGATATCAAACTCGTCCACAAGCTGGATCTATATATAGATGGGATATTAAAATAGCTGTGATTTGCTATAGAAACTATACATCAATGTATTCGTTTTGGATTCTGATCAAACTAATGGTAAAAGGAAATGTTATGATGCTCGTTCTCGGAAACCTGTCGGTATCAATTATTTGGCCAACATTTCAAAAATCACTTTTAGAAGAAGCTACAAAGGCTTGAAAGAAAAGAAATTGTTCTTTCAATTTCCTAATTATAGAAAAAAAAATGTTTAAGGTTCTCAAGAACAAACCTTGACATTAAGTAAACTTCTAAAAATGGACTTTAATCATTAACAATCACCTACATTTTAATTGGGTTTCGATACGGTAGAATCAAAGAGCTATAGCTCTATGTAAATCGCTACACCTCGTTTGAGACCCTCCTCAACTAAAACAGAACAATTAAACGTACAGATGTATGGGCACATGTCTATAGATACATATAGTGTATGCGTTACCTAGACCTATTAAACATTACTGTATTCGAGACCGAGACGATGCCTATTGCTGTTTGTTTTTAATGATCAGAAATCTAATCGTTAACATGGCATTTTCCCCGGCGCATTGTAGACGATTTCCCGGGGAAGAGATTATTGGCAACATGCCCATCTAACCGATCAAGACGCGACTGGGACAAGTCGAAGTCTTGATACCTTTCTATATCTATTTGTTTATTTTCATATAAATCACCAAATAACAATAATTGGTTAGACGATGAGAGTTCGTTGTGATTGGGACTTTATAGGGAATATTTACTCACCTTTTCCAATTCAAACTCTCGAATTTTGTGAATGTGTCCACGTGGCTTCTTCGACATTTTGACTGTTTACATAGGTGCTCTTTTTCAGTCGAAAATATTCTTCCAGTTAAAAGTTTTGTTTATAATTCACTTCACATCACTTGATTCACTTCCAATTCGGCTTTACTTTGTCCATGAGCAGGCCAATAAAATAATTGAAACAGTTTATGTACGCGAATGTATCTACCAGAATGTATCTACATATTTACATTTTGTATACAGCAGCAGCGTTGTAAATATTTATAGCGACAGCAGCAACAGCAACAGCAGTACCACCAAAAGCACCAAAGGAAAACATTTCTATATCTGTGGGATTCCTTTATGCCTGCTAGTACATATCTTGATTTTTTGTCTTGGCTTTTGTTGTTGCTGCTGCTTCTGCACGCAGCTAAAGTAAATTAAGATATGAATTGATCGTCGGCTGTGCGGGGATTTAATTTTTGCTTCCTGGTAAACGGACATGGGACGATTGCACTGCGGCTAGTGGAAATTCACCAAAAACAAAATAATAATCCACCGAGCGCCGAGCGTGTGTGCACATATAAATATTTGGACACATACACAGACGGCAGGAATTTAAAATCTCTCGCCACTAGCGAAGATTTCAGAACCAGGCCAGAAATCTCGTAGTCGTCACTCTCCCGGCTTCTGTTCAATTCTATTCGGTTCTGTTTTGATGCTTGTTTTCTCTCTTCGCTTTATGCATAATATCAACAGCTAAATTAAAAATAATGCCCGCTTGCTTGCCTCTTATATAAAAACCTTTTCGAAAGTGTGTGATTTTTGGCCCGAACCGAAACGATATCGAATCATTTGTATCCAGCAGATTCACGCATCTCTACACGCACCGCCACGAAACCGTTAACTGCGCCCGCTTTCCACATACACCTTTATCTGTGTGTGTGTGTGTGTGTATTTATACCGCTGCACTATTCTGGAATAAAATCAAAAGAATCTGCGCTATGACCCATCCGATATACACGACCGCTCGTTGCCAACTGCTCTCGGTTTTGATTTAAAAAAAGATATTCTGAGCAATGCAAGCGAGCGTTTTCGAAAGAAATTTCGAAATATGTTAGGGAGGCTAAGGGATTTGAGAAAGAGAGAATTTTACAGAAAAGTTCGTTAGTGAAGAAAGCCATTTTACAAAATGGCTAACAAAACTGAACTTTACACTGTTAAACGCCTTGCACTTTATTCTTTATTTCTGCTATTGGTAAAAAGATATAATCCAAAAATGAATTGTAAGTTTAAAGTACCGATTATTATGATGCCTTTAACAATAATTCAGTCCATAAACTGTGTGTTTTTAAAGAGAATACATAAAATCAAAGATACCACAATATTTGACATTTTTACAGTGGGTTAACAGACAGTATCCTCACTTAACAGAGCTTGGCACCAGGCAACGCTCACATACACAACACAATGATAAGCCTGCACCAATACATTCATGGCAGCCATTTACACACGCACTTGTTGTACATGCCGAGCCGTCACTGTATAAGTAAGGCAACTCTAATTGGTTACTTCCGTTCCGGTTCCGTCGACGTTTCCTTGGCGCATGCGACTTTTGGATTTGGGCTTTCAACTTTGGGCTTCCAGCTCTAGAGGTTCAACTTCGCTGCGCTTGACACACTCACACCCATACAAAACTTTTCCGCACATAAGTGCCACTGGGCATGTGTGCGTGTGATAAGAGATGCAACATAACGGTAACGGTAACCACTTGTCGCGGGCTATAAAAGTCGCAGCTGGCCAGCATCCACTTGCAAACGTTCGCATGTCACCGAAGGCGCAACAGCTCCGATCCGATTCACAATTTGACTTTAAATTCCATTTGGATTTTTCATCAGACCTCAAGTTCAGATATACAATTTTTCCAAAAACTCGGCCAATGTGTGTGAAGTGATATTTCGGGTTTGCAATTCTCAATATTGGTTGTGGAGCATTTCCCCTGCGTTTTCCGGATATTTTTGAATACTCTTGAGGATTATTTAACAATGGATTGGACCAAGTATATGAATTAAATTTGTGATTAATTAGGTGAGTAATTGCGTTTTTAAAAAGTCATAGTGCTACAGAAATCAAAAAATGAAAGTAATAAAGTTTGATGCCCCAAAATGGTATTAAAAACTATTAAAAATGTGTGTTTTAGTCTCAGCATTTAAGAAAGTATTTTAAAATCGATTTTCTGCACAAAATAAGATATTTTTCAGGTTCAGGTCACTTCTGTTAAAATTTATATTTTGTAATGAAAACCTAAGCATGACTCATAAATAACACATATTATTCAGAATTAGTTAAAGGTTTCTTATGAAAATAGTTAATATTCTTTCATCACTATTTTTAAATAATTCTGCTCACGATTTCTCCAACTGTGATAACCATCAATCCAGACATAAGATGCCCAACTAATTGTAGTTTCTCATAAATAAAGCAAAAGCTCTGGCTAAACCCGTCGAGCACTTGAAACACTCAATCTGCATTGCGCTTAATTGATCACAAGTCTGAGCAATTAAAGTCGGCGGGGAAGAATTAAGTAGATCAGATTAATTATTTGACGTGTTTGTGGGTTTATTGCACGCAAAGATTTCCGAGCTGGCGATAAACCAATAAGCATACCCGCCCTATATGCATGTAAATGCCTGTTCTGTGGTGTGGATGGTCAAGTGTTTGCTGGCCAGTGTGTTTGAACATGACCACCTGTCGTATGCGTAATGTGCCAACGAGCTCTTCAAGGGCTGGGTGAGCACATGTCGTTGCCAAACAGATTCTGAAGTGCCCTGGACACACACTCGTGGCATCCATGGATGACTGAAGAGCTGGCCAAGTGGGATTTCTGTATGATTCCCCGGGCTGGGTGATATTTCCGGGAGATTTGCTGGTGACTGACTGACTGAATCATTGAAATATCTTGATTTTTACAGATTTCAAAGTGCGGCGGCGGGAATATCGGCGTGGTCGAAGATATCGACACGTTTTGGGTCAAGGACACGACGGGTTAGATATAGTCGCAGATGTCACCAACGGGACATAAGTCAAAGACGCCCACGCCACACGATAACGATAACAATAGCATCAGCGACGAGCGCGAAACATGGAGCGGCAAAGTGGATTTTTTATTGTCGGTTATTGGATTCGCCGTCGATTTAGCAAACGTCTGGAGATTTCCCTATTTGTGCTACAAAAATGGCGGTGGTAAGTTTATTTATCCTATTCTTATTTATTTATTTATATTTATAAATAAGGGATTTATAATCCTATTCAATCATATGTTTTTAGATGTATATATTAAGTACTCTTTAGGTTCTTAAAGATCAATATTTTCTGCTACATAATTATGTTAAAAAAGATATTGTTTAATAATGTTATTCAAACATCATGTATATAAAAATGGAACTATTTTAGGAAATTAAAGAAAGACCTAGTTAATTATGCATACATAATATTTTCAAAGCAATCGTTTGCTTATTATTATTTTACAAAATAATTTTTTAAAATTAAGATCTCTTATTCATAGACGACTCATATATTAGGAATCGGAAAACTCATATATTTGCTATGGGCGAACTGGCCAATTAGACGATAAAGACATTTCGTGAACCGCTCAGACTGAGTGAAAATAATTTATATGGCTTTACACATCATTGAGCTTGGTCCCGGAACCTAACGCTTTCCGCTTTCTTTTCCTTCCACTTTCCGCTTGGCGCCTTTCTCTTTCCCGTTCGGCCTTGTTAACACTTTGTCAAAGTGGTGCGAAGTGCTGTCAAAAGAGGGCGGCTAAGGATTGCTGAAAGGGGCGTGGCAGCTTCCTTTGTCAATTCGGTGCGGGGTGGAGTGGTGAGGAAACGGAAATGCGGTAAAGGGCACACACTCTTTCTGATCCTCGTCGTCAACGCCATCATTCAAAACAATTCCAAAAGTTAAGTGCTTCTGTATGACAACTAAATCTGGCAGTCATAATCGCATTTGGCCTTCTTACCCCCTTTTATTCGCTTTCACCCTGCTTTCACCGCACTCTCCCTGCAATATGTCAGCCTGCTTATGTGGAGTTCAGAGCTATGCTTTCTAGGCTTTTGTTGCTGGAGCACTTTTCCATCGCATTGTGGGAAATTCATGTGCGAAACATGTCCTCATCCCCACCTCCCCATGATTGCCGCACTTTCCGGCTGCTGCGTCCCGAATAAAAGTGAGTCTCCGACCCTTCGATATAGTTATTACTATTTTATGATTTTTTCCCCTCGAACTCTGGGTATTGCCTTTAAAATCATAATAATAAATGGTTATATTTATACGCTTCATTGCCTTCAATCAGCGCAAGGCTCCAGATTAAGTTTCACATTTTTTTCGCCGTTGCCAGGACCACCAGGACTCGCTCAGGTTGCGATTATTGCCACAGCTTAGATGGTATTATTTATTCTCTTTCCCATTTTCTTGCAACTCGCAAGTGGCAGCTTTGGTGGCAGCAACAGGCTGTGCCCGCCACAATATCCAGGATTATGCTTAAAATCCAGGCAGAAAGTACTTTCTGGGCTTACTCTCTAGTTTAGATCGCGGTTCACGTATCCGGTTGTACATTAAAAATGAATTGCATTCTTATGTTAAAGTTTTCAGGCTTGAAAAAATATATAGAGGTTCATAAAAATATTAAAGACAAAATCAAAAGGACGTATAACTTACTAACTGTGATAGAATAAACTGTTTTCCAATTTTTTTTGAAATTCCATCATTCGTATAGCAAGGACAAAATTAATAGTTCACCAAAAACTGGGGCAGAAACGAATTTGGCAAGGGAATTGAGTTAGGGTCACATATTTTTGCACTGTGCCCCGGACGAGCTGTTGGGAAATGGGGAAATGCACTTGAAGCAACGGAAATTATGGCTTCAAGAGCAGTGCCGGGGCGTCATAGATGCCTCGACTTTATTTTAGACGTTTTTGTTTTACATTTTGAACATAATTGACACGACAGAAGGAAGCGCCTTTGTAGCTACGTACATAGGACCACCCATGCCTGCCTATATATGTAAACTCGAACAGATGTACGTTCGTATATAATGGCCGTAGACGACTTTGTCGGCCACTTTGCCTGCTAATAGACATAATCAAATCATAAAAACATCATCCCCTGTCACTCAACAAAGTATCGATGGCACTCTACCAATTGTCAGACCCAAAAGTGGGCGGCTGGCGAGGGTTGGCTTTGGGCTTTGGCGGATGTGAGTGGGTGGAGTAGAGGGCTTTTGGCCCGAGGTGGCGGAGATTGCTGCAGGAGACAGCCCAGCTATGCCCCCTTCAGTGACACCCCCTTCCCGGCGCTGGGCCATCGGCTTGCCAGGCTGCTGTTAATGTTTTTAAAATGTCCTTAGAGAGGCACTTGTAAAACAATTTGATTTTGTGTACCATCGAACATACATAAAAGTATGGTGCTGGTGTCTATGCTGTAAATATGTTTGTAATCATGTTTGGGCGAACAATGCAGGACCTGTGACACGGGTCAGTCTTAATGTGTGTAGGTTATGCAATCATTATTATCATAAACAAGTTATTGATTGCATTCACGGTTAAGTTGCATGAAACCATGGTTAATGTCAGTGGAATTTGAGGGGAAATAGGGTCTCAAAGTATTAAACTGTAGGGGTAATCAATATCTAATTTAATTAAATTTCAGGCGCTTTTCTTGTGCCCTACTGCATTATGTTGGTGGTCGGAGGTATTCCTCTTTTCTACATGGAATTGGCTCTGGGTCAGCACAATCGTAAGGGAGCCATCACTTGTTGGGGTCGTTTAGTGCCCCTTTTCAAAGGTGAGTTGCTAAAATATTCTATACATTCTACTAATTTAGATTTATCTTCCTCTAGGAATTGGATATGCTGTGGTTCTAATAGCATTCTATGTTGACTTCTACTACAATGTGATTATTGCCTGGTCGTTGCGTTTCTTTTTTGCATCATTTACCAGTTCTTTGCCCTGGACGTCTTGCAATAATATTTGGAATACCCCAAATTGTAAACCTGTAAGTTAAAGGGTTATCCTCGAGTTTACGATATATATTAATATTTTATTTAATCTTTAGTTTGAAAGCCAAAATGCGTCCCGTGTGGCGTTGTTAAGCAATTACAGTGATTTTTATAGCGCAAACAATCAGAGCCTGTTCAATGAGTCTTATGCCAATAGTTCAAGTTTGGAGGCTCCTCTGGGCCATATGGAGGGCTTTCAGTCAGCTGCCTCCGAGTATTTTAAGTAAGTAATACTAAATATTTTTGATTAAGCATATCGAAACTTAACTTTATCCCCTTAGCCGCTATATTCTAGAGCTGAATCAGAGCGAGGGCATCCACGATTTGGGTGCCATTAAGTGGGACATGGCACTTTGCCTGCTGATTGTCTATCTCATTTGCTACTTCTCTCTGTGGAAAGGAATTAGCACTTCCGGCAAGGTTGTGTGGTTCACCGCCCTCTTCCCCTATGTGGTGTTATTGATTCTTCTGATAAGGGGTCTCACATTGCCAGGATCCTTCCTGGGCATACAGTATTATCTCACGCCCAATTTCAGCGCCATCTACAAGGCAGAGGTATGGGTGGATGCTGCCACTCAAGTGTTCTTCTCCTTGGGCCCTGGATTCGGAGTCCTCTTAGCTTATGCCTCCTATAATAAATATCACAATAATGTCTACAAGTAAGGGCAGGAAGCCGGAAGCTTTTAAACTTTAAATGATTAAATTATGTCTTGTTCTGATAGGGATGCATTGCTAACCAGTTTCATCAATTCGGCCACCAGTTTCGTGGCAGGATTTGTGATATTCTCGGTGCTGGGCTACATGGCCCACACATTGGGAGTGAGAATCGAGGATGTGGCCACCGAGGGACCAGGACTGGTATTTGTGGTTTACCCAGCTGCCATTGCCACCATGCCGGCCAGTACATTCTGGGCACTGATATTCTTTATGATGCTGCTTACCTTGGGCTTAGACAGTTCGGTAAGTATTTTTCGTTAATTTTTGAGTTATGAATTGTCTAAATCTTTTTGTAGTTTGGAGGATCTGAGGCCATCATCACCGCCTTGAGCGACGAATTCCCCAAGATCCGGAAGAACAGAGAGCTGTTTGTCGCAGGACTGTTCTCCCTGTACTTTGTGGTTGGATTGGCCAGCTGCACGCAGGGGGGCTTCTACTTTTTCCACCTGCTAGACCGCTATGCTGCCGGCTACTCGATCCTGGTGGCCGTGTTCTTCGAGGCCATTGCCGTCTCCTGGATCTACGGAACCAATCGCTTCAGCGAGGATATACGGGACATGATTGGCTTTCCGCCAGGCAGGTACTGGCAGGTTTGCTGGCGCTTTGTGGCCCCGATTTTCTTGCTTTTTATCACAGTTTATGGCCTGATCGGTTACGAACCACTAACCTATGCGGATTATGTCTATCCCAGTTGGGCCAATGCGCTCGGCTGGTGCATAGCGGGATCGTCGGTGGTGATGATACCCACGGTGGCGATCTTCAAGCTACTGTCCACGCCCGGCAGCCTCAGGCAGAGGCTAACCACTTTGACCACTCCGTGGCGGGACCAGCAATCGATGGCCATGGTTCTGAACGGGGTCACCACCGAGGTCACCGTGGTGCGACTGACCGATACGGAGACCGCCAAGGAGCCCGTCGACGTCTGAGTCCGACCGATGGCCAGATTTCAAGTTTATTACGTTTAGATTTGGAAATTTACCAACAACTCACGTTCACGTACTTGTTGCATTGCTAGAAAGTTAGTCTTTTTGATTTGACATTTGGCAAGAGGTCCTTCAGGATCGGCAAATTACGCAAACAACGTACTTAGGTTTCGGCATTAAAAAGTAAATACACATACATATAACTAAATAGAAAACCAGAAGAGTCCTAAGTTAAGAATAGCTTGTAGTTATAAAGTTAAATGCAATGTTATAGCATACGCCATACCAACATATTGATATTTAAATGCTGTGTAGATAATACCACAACCGAATGTCGTATAATCCACACAATCTAGCCAAAATACGCCACAAGAATGTTTGCATATGCCAATGGAATTAACGGCACGATCGCAGCTCAACCGATGATTCAAATTGGGCATAGAATCTGTACATAAACAACAATCAATGAAGTAAAAGCTTTAAACACGTTATAGGATATCTTATGGAACTGAAGCAAAAGCAAATGCTGCCACAGTTGAACAACAGAATCGCCTCAAACAGCCATGAGGCGATTTTGCCATATGCAAAGGTTTATTCTAAAATTCTAACCCGTCCCATCAACAACTACGATTGTTTGCGTAAAGCAGCCATTTTAGGCAAGCAATTGGCAGTTGAAAAGAATTCCCTGTTAAATAATCATTTCTGTATATAGATCTATGAGGTATTTCAAATTTATTTAAAATGTTTCTTCTACACTGAAGCAGAACTAACAGCCATGAGTTCTGTTTCAATTTGTTGAAATAAATTATTATATTTTCAGTTACTGAAAAATCCCTTTTTGTGATTTCTTCTTGGCTGGTTTGAATAAAACAATCAGGTATTTTGGATTAGATATTTCGGGGTTTTATTTCAATTTTAATGCTTTGGTTTCCTTGTACATTAATTTCTTTTATTAACATATAAAAGTAAAGAAGGCCTAATAACAAAACCAACTCAAATGGTTCCCACATCGATGATTTGTATCAAGTAGCGCAGTTTTTGGATAAATATTGAATGCTTTCACAGAATCTCAGCTTTTTAATAAGTATTCATAGGTTTTGGGTACATATTCTTTTCTGTGTGTATGTATATATGTATGTTTGTAGCACTATGTAAGCCTCTGCATTAAAAATATATATTATGTATGTATGTATGTATAATATGCATGATTAATTCGGATGAGGGAGCTCTAACTCCCTGATAATTGATACTCGTATAACATTTGCGGTGTTTGCAGATTACGTATGTTGGTCGGGTCTTTAGATTTGGGTTGCGATTAGGATGCCATCTAGTTTGATTTATAGCTTATCTTGGTTATGGTATAGTTTCTGGTTCTATAGAGCAGGTTTTAACCCAATAGAGCTATGCCTATGTACAGTAAATATTTTTGATTCTGATTTTTTCCTCTTTGGTATACGGAATATAGATATACATATATTTTCTTTTGCTTTTATCATATTTAGTTGTATAGATACTTTGTTGGGGGCTGGGCTGGGAGATAGGGGGTGGGCGCCAACTTGATATTCTTGTGTTTATATATTATATGATATTTTTTTTGTGCTCGTTGATAATTCGCTAACTAATTCGTTTTTATGTAGATGTACGTTATGTTGTGCAATAACTTTTAAAATCAATACATACAATGCAATATGTATAAGCAACAAATACGATCTCGTCCCGGAAAGACACTTTCTGAATTGACAAATGACCTAAGTGAGTGTCGTCTGATGGAATCACTTAACTGGCTTTGGTTAGATCTATAACAGTTATAAAATCTAGTTCATATTACGTCTGTGCATTGAGATTTGTTCGGTGGATGTTATATTTATATATATATTTCATAATTTCGTATATATCTATTATGATATCAGCTATTACTTCAGTAGAAAATAACATTCAATCCGTTTTTAAAGCATTCGTTTTTTACTTTTTCTCGAAAATTAAATTTTCATTAGAGCGCTCACAAAACAATTTTTCTTTTTTTCATAATTCGATTAAATTTTCGATCAACTTTCGGTGAAATTATTCTAGAGGATACAACACGGAATAAAGCCTTAGAGGCCCTGATCAGAACCCATTCAGTTCATAGCAAAAGCGACATTATTTTCTGACATTCAGAATCGGCAGACCTAGGTTGGTTATATCGTTCCATAAGTAAGGTTATTAGTAATTTAACTATAAAGGCTACATTTGGGAAACAATCGATTATAAACAATAAAAATTTCATTTCAATTATTTTTGGTACAAATTCTACGCAATAGGAAAAATGCCTAAAGTAATTGCCTTATGTATGCTTAAAATTTACTGTAATGCACCAAGAGATTTCACTTTCAGTTTTATCAGCGCTATAAATATATCAATATCCGTATCAGTATCCAATTACAATCATTCAGATCAACATATATACGCGTACTTGTTTATAATAAGTACATGCAGACATTATATATGAGATACCTAGTCCAACATTTATATTCGAATTATTTGCTATGCACTTTACGAATATCCTATTACTTGTAACTCCCACAATCCGTCTATTTAAGTCTGTTGGATTGAGCTCAGAAACGCTGGGTCCACTGAGGCCACCTTGGCGGTGAGAAAAGCATGCATGCAGAAGAGCAGACTTTGAAGGACTTGACATTCCAGTTCCTAGAAGAGAGATACTATAAGAAATATCCTATTGACTGAGAACTTATAGTCATACCTTTGTTTCTATTGCCCTACTATCGTGATCTTGAAAATGTAACTTCAGCTTGGACTTTCCATCGTCACTGGATCCTCTCAGTTGAGAAAACTTGTACTGCCAGACCACGGCAGAGTCGGCTCCCTCGGTAAGCGAAAATCCTGCCTGCCAGTCCAGAGTAAGTCCACCACTCTTGCCATGATGCGAAACAGCAAATGTCTTGCGCTGAATAATAGAAAATAGATAAGGTATTTAAACAAATTTCATAATTAAAGAGTACTTACGCCTAATTTAATCACACTTGTGACAATGGCAGCATTCCAACTATTCTCAATCCTCAAAAGCTCTTGTCGGGTTTCCACACTCAAATACCGGGGCTCATGTCCAGAACTTTGCAGTAAAAAGCAATGCTGGCGACTATCTACTGTTTCAGATTCCTTAACGATCCGGAACATCGTCTGATAAACCTTGTAAACTACCAAAGCCTTGCTAATGCCAGCCACATTTAACTAAAAGGTCAACAGATTTTATGAAAATTTAAATTAATTATGATAGGTTGATGGACTTACAGGTGGCGTTTCAAAAAGCATCACTTCAGTACCTTTAAGCAGTAAAAACCGGGGCTTGTAACTCTGCCAAGATATATTGTTATTGATGACGCCCTCATTAACCCAACCCATATATTCAATACGCTCGCCAACAGCAAAGTTTCGATTGTATAACTTCATCTATTAATTCCAAAATCAGAGATTAGCATAGGTCTTTAAAATATGCATTTATATTCATTATCTTCTCACCTGAAGATGAGTTAGACCCACAACATTGTCCGTGATCAGTTTAAGCCACTGACTGAGTATGGCCAGCTCATCGCAGTGTATCACACCGGTTGTTACACCATTCAAGCCTCGAACTTCGAAGGCATTTTGACGCAGCTTATCGGTTCCATAAATATATCTCGTTACATAAGCCATCATTAGAGGCACTAAATCAGGGAAAAGTTAAAAAGGCATGTTACGTAAATTTTCAAATCATAAATAAACGTATTTATTACCTGCCACCACATCTGTCCAGCGTTTCTCGGGCTCTGAACATATCGACATGGGGCGACTGCAACTCCGACTAATGGTTCCACTATTGACGGAGGACTTGTAGCCCTCGTCGGCCTTCAGTTCTGCACAGGTTGCATCATTGTCAGAGTCGGGTGTATCTTTGGTTACTTTGAGAAGGATTAAATACTTTATTTATACCTTACGTTGCGAAAAAACTTTATTAACTTACATTGCTTCTGAAGAAAAGGCGTGGCAGCCCGATAGTGTTTCACAGTGAGCACTACTATATCACCGGCATTCCTAAGAATATTCACTGCGTCGTCGTGGGGACACGCCGTGATATATTCCCCATTCACCTTGATAATAGCATCGCCCACAAAGAGCTGACCCGTGATATCCGCCGCCTGATCCTTATAAATTCGCGATATTAAGATGGGCAGCTTGTGCTCGGCTCCCCCTTTTATGCTAAGCCCCAGACCGCCTTGCTTTTGGCGCGTGATTTGAACCATGCGCTCCTGGAAAGAAATAGGAATTAATTCATTTCAATTTGTTATTCCAAAATCAAAACTTACCTTCGACTCCATTGGCGGACCATTGGGATGACTGGTTGGAGTAACTACTTCCAGCTTTTGAAGCGAAAGTAGCTCCATGGTCAGGTTCAGCCTAAGGGGCTCGGGTCTGCTCTTGCCATCGCTCACATGGACCATGCCAGTTCGCACCTGTTGTATTGAATATTCATTATTGATTAATATAAAACACTTATTTGCACTTTACCTTTAGGTTTTGATCTAGTTTTTCTTCTATTGGCGTAGCCATGGTGTCAGAGACCTTCATAATTCCTAAAATAAAGAACAAACAAGAATTAATGCAAATATTCGACTTTTAAAAAAAAGATGGTGAAATCTTTTGATTATTTTCCTTTTTTTTGATTATCTAACAAGGTGTACTCCATGAAATTGTTTTTTTTTTCGATTTTTCTCTTTTCATATGCACTAATATCCGATCCTAGTATAATATCCTAGTAAGTATCCGATTAAGAAGTAATGTACCATTTTATAATCAGCAAATTAATTCAAGCCTTGAATTTCAAGGTATTTCTTAAATATCGTGTTTGAAAATTTTGAATTTTTCAAGACCCTATTAAGTTGTGGGTTGGTGAATCTTACTCCCTTTTACTAGACCACAAATACTAAAATGTTTCCTGACTTGTGGCAGTAAAGAGATGGCAACGAATGTGAGCCGATACGGCGGCCGCCAATCAAGTTGGCCCAGAAAGTACTTAGAGTTCTGGGAACTTTTTGCCTTTATTGTTAACATTATTGTGGCCATGGCAATGGACTGTGGAAACAAGTGCAATCAAAACGGGTAGCCGGGTCTCCGGTTGCCTTTATCGATTGCCAATTCATACGAACGTCTCGACGTACGTTGAGTAAACCAACGCAAATGCAATCTTCAGTGAAGAATATTGAATTACGTTTACCCATTACTGCGATAGTTCAAGGTGAACCGTGTAATTGCCTTAATTAAATTACACATGCAATTAGAAACAATTAAACGCAATCAGTCAGCGGCACAATGCAATAGAGATATTCTTTTGGATCGACATGATCCACGGAATACCTATGAATGCCTATGACCGACAGTTCCGAGGAAGACATGCTCCGCCATCCATATGTTTTCCATTAAAGTGGAAAATAAATATGATACCGGAAAAACCAAATATGAGTGAAAACACATTGAAGTGTGCCCCATATGCTGGTGTTTTTCTTGCTGTTATTGTTATTGGTGCTGAGTGCTGAATGCTGAAGTGTGGCTGCAACTGGTCCGCAGAAAAGGGAGGGCAGGAAAAGTATTTCGGCTAACCACTTGTGCTCCATAAATAGGTGTTGCCTTTGGGGTTGAGTATTTCGAAGGGCGCTCGAAATTTGTGCATCTGGTGCC